TGGGCTCTCTGAGAGGGTCGGAGGAATTGAACCCGGCTTGGCCAGGCCGGTGCTTACAAGGCAAAATGCCCTACCGCTGTGCTATCACTCCTTTGTATTTTTTGAATGTCAGGCTTTCTTTCACTCAACCGTGAATGAGGCTCATCCATGACTGAATTTAAATTTAAGCAGATACCTAGATTGCTGTAAGATAGATTCAATCATAGAAATACCTGTCACATTATGTTCTTTATCTATTCCATTGATGGTACTATTTGCTCTCGAAGCTACTATAAAAATTCTTGTGGAGCTAGGGCTGTAGTTCAGTGAATGTTTTGCATGTGTGAGGCCCAGATTTTGAGCCCCAGAACAGCAACATTTTTTTTTGTTTAAAGCCAGTTTCTTTAACTTTCAGCACCGCAGAACAAGTGTGTGTGTATGTGTGATATACAATTTGGGATTGGGGGCAACACTGAACAGTGTTCAGATGCTACTCCTAGTTCACTATTCTCTGGGTTTGCTCTTGGTGGTCCTCCGCGGAGGAGGTGGGAGCGTGGGGGCCTGTGCCGTGCTTGGGAGCAAACTTTAGATTCCCACGCGCAAAGAGGGCACGCCAGTCCTTACATACAACAATGTGTTTAATCTCTACCACAATTCCATAAGGTATTTAGAGAAGGAAACAGAGACAGAGAGGTCTGAGCTCTAGAAAAGGCTGGCTACACGGCCTTTCTGAGAACAGGGACCACACCAGACCACACCACACCTGCGTGGTAGGTATAGTGTGCCCAGGAGGCTATCAGCATGCATATGGTAGGAGCTCAACAAATGTGTTCTAAGTAAAGGAACAGAATAAGAATCTACACAACATCATTCACAGCTCTAGTGAACTGAAATTCTTATTCTCCATTTTTTGTTCTGTTTTGGGAGTCACACCCAGGGATGCTCAGGGAGTACTCTTGGCAATGCTCAGGTGACCATACAGCATGTTAGGATTCAAACCCAGGATAGTAAAGGCAAGTGAACTGTCAGGTGTACTATCACTCAGACCCCTTATTCTCCATTTTTAGAAATACATTACAGGGGACTTGTCCAAACTCTGTCTTCTCTTAATGAACTACTAGTGGAAATCTATTGAAAAGATAAATTGCTGAAGCCAGAGAAATAGTACAGGGACTAAAGCACTTGCCTTGCTCATGACCAATCCCAGTCAATCCCCCGCACCACATTATGGTCCCCTGAGCACCACCAAGAGCGATCCCAGAGCCAGGAGCATGCCCTGAGCAGTTCTGGTTCAAAGCTGCTCAAAATACCAAAACTATAAAATACGGAGTAATGACTAAGGGTTTAATCCAATAAAATTATCACTCCTAAAACACTGAATTTGTACTATAGAGCTTTAAATATTTAAGCCTAACACAAAAGATGAGAAAACAGATTCAGAAGTTGGAGACTTGCCCCAAACCAAACTAATGTTACCAGGAAACGTGGGACTGATTTCAAGTCTTAAAACGCTCTTCCCATTATTGACCAGAATGACAAAGCAGTAGTTCTTTGAAACTCTTCTGGGATACACTCTGCTTCAGATTAATGCAAAAATCCAAGTTCTAAATAACAGTTCTAACTGCAGTTATCGAAAATGCTTTGACTTAGAACTTAAAATCATTAAATTAACAAATTAATTAGACTTATTCAAAGTCTTTCAAAATTAGGACAGGATAGGATCACTTAAAGGACCATTTAAAAACAGCCCACTTTAAACAGAACTGTAAAACCACAGGGATGTGACATAGTTGGTCTTTATTACCAAGAGGTAAAAATAAAGTAATCCCTAGCTTTAGGTTCTCTGACAACCTCTTGAGTTCTCCAGAAAACCTGGAACTAATTTCAGAGAGGTCAGAGTGCATTTTCTCTCAGATGCTCTTCTAATGATAACATCATACTGTTTGCACAATCAGCATCTGCATCTCCTAAGAAATATGCACCTGAGATCACAGAAAATTGGTTTCCTCAAAGCATAACAGAATCAAGCGCCATTACAGGACATTTCTGCAGACAGAAGATCCCTGGTGTGAGCCAGCCTCGTAGGTAAAGCTTACATATTTTCAGAAGAGGTATGAAAATGTGTTAACTCTCAGGTTCAATTCCTAACATAGTTCATTAAAGGGGGTGGGCATTTTCATCTGCTCACCATCAAGGAAAGGCTAATTGCTGATTCATACATGGGGCGGGGCGGGGCAGGGAGCAAAATCTATGAACTTTTAATGACTCTTCAAGTATGTCCAAGTCTGTCAAGTCAGCACAAAATGTGACTGCTGTTCTGTGTCCCTAGGTGCTGGGGACCAAGCCTAGGGCTTCAGATAAGCAAGGCAAGCGCTCTGCTACCAAGTTAGATACAGGGCCAAGTTTTCAGTTTGTTTGGTTTTTAATCTACAAGAGGGTGAGTAGTTTGTCCAGAATTCTGCAAATCACTCAGTTTTCAGCCCCCCCAAAAAACATTTGAATACATGAACCAGCCATAAAGATGTGTACACACACACACACACACACACACACACACACACACACAGCCTGTAACTGAAGAGGGCAGTTAGTTAAGTATTGATATTAAACTATAATTCACCCTGACAGCAGGGGTGATCCAATTTGGTTTAAGTATCCAGTACCTGACAAGTCTAGTTAAGTAATATTTCTTTGTTTTTATATAGGTCATATTAAATTACAAGTCTCACAGAGACTCCATCTTTAAAGGTCAGATTATGCCTCAGACGAAGAAAAACCAAAATCGATTGTTAATGTGATAGAAATTTCAAATTAATCCCGAAGATCCCATGTTTGGCAAAGATAATGTGAAAAGCAGTTAGGTTCCACACAGGAATTTGTTGGTAACGGGAGGTAGAACTTTTTGCAGTAGACAACCACCTCCCTTACAGGATTTTAACTATGGCATGCTACCTAAGCATCCAGTCATTTTCCCTTGGTTCAACGCAGTAAGAGCATTAGTGCTTACCAACCTACTGGTTAGAACAGCTGAAAATTTTATCTTCTAGACAGAAAGAATTCCAGTGCTCCTCCCTCCAATCAAAATCAGTTTCTCTAAAGTATGAGGACACTTGCTAAGTTTTGAACTGGCTACGATTAGAGGCAAGAACCAGTCCTCTAATAAGGCACACATTAATAACTCCATGATACAGCTAGTAAAATCTTCAACACCTAATTTGTTGTGAATACATTTCTTCCCTGAAGCTACTGGGTTCTTGCCACGGTCATTAAAATTAGCACCAGGTCAACTTTCAACAATGCAGCTTTAACAAAGGCATGTCTGGACAAAAGTGAAGCCTGGTAGAATCCACTTACTGCTGCTCTATTGTTATAGAATCACTGCTTTATTGCCTTAAATCTTGAATATCTAATCTCATAGTCCTTTCAGAGAAAAACAACAGTAGAAAGAGGAGATAATTAAGAATCAAGCTGTGCTTTACCAAAAAAAAGTTACTGTTAAAAAGAAGGAAAAACAAAACAAAACCCTGTCCCTTTCCAATCACGCATATACTTAAAACAGAGATCAGGGATGAACTTTCTGAGGTATTTTAACCAAAACATAACTACAGTTAAGGAGTGGGAGGGGTGGAGATTCAAGGTCAGTTTATGTTTTTTAGCACTGGGCAGCAGCGCTCCAGATTTCTCATTTCTAAATACTTTCCCTCCATGACAGAAGATCCCAACGAAACATCTCACCTATTAGATATAAACTAATGTCTACTTAGAGCTACTATCCAAATAGATTTTATTTTTTTTTCCTGAAACCTATTTCCAAGTACTCTCAAGACATGTATCTGAAAACAAGATCTCTACGAGGGTCAAACCCATAATTACCCAAGATTAGAGCCATTCGGGATGCAAATATGCTTTGATTCAATTGATCCGCATTCCTAACTGTGCAGTGAAGGAGCACACGCCTCCGGAAAAAGCAAACTCAAGTGCTTGGGAGCCACCAAGACCAGCCTGATCAGTGTCGAGTGGGTGATAGAAAGCCTAGGAACCCTTACTGCTAGTTAGTTATTGCCAAGACCCCCGTCCCCACCACCACCACCGTCCTAGCCGTCGCTGCCTAAGAAATTTGCAGGATTTTCAAGGGACACTGTCACACTTAACTGCACACTTCCTAGCCCAGTGCAGTTGTTCTACCAACTTCCAGGTAGGGGGCAGGTAGTAAAACTAAAGAATCACCAAAAAAAAAAAAAAAAAAAAAAAAAAAACCCAAAAAACACCCAAACTTGATCTCTTCACGCCAAGGCAGTGAAGCGAGTTTGCAAACTCGGCGTGCCTCCTGCCCCACGCGCACTCCTCCGCGCTCTTTCTACGAAGCAGTTCACGCCTGGCATCTCCTTCCTCACCGCCGAGTGCAGTTCGCTCACTATCTAAGAATGTGGATGAGGGAATCCTTGGCAGGTGGACGGCGGTCCGAGGTTGGCGCGTTCCCTTTCCACCGACCAGGGCGTCTCGAGGCGGCCCGAGCCCCGGGAGCCCCGGGAGCGCCGGCCACGCGGCCGGTCGACCCTCTCTCCCCGGGTACCCACTAACTCCGGACCCCCGGGAACAATGACCACCTACCTCCAAACCCACGAGCCCGCGGGAAACGGAAGTTCGCGCGGGATGGGCGGCTCGGAGGCGGCACCCCAAGGCGTCCTAGGGTCCCGGAGCGGCAGCACCCCACCCCCACCCGGTCGCTCCCCAAGATGAACTTTTCCCCCCGCCCCACTCCGGGGGTGCGCGACCCCGCGGCGGGTCGGGCGTTACGAGACCTTGGCCAGAGGACAGGGAGGGAGGGCAGAGGAGTCCCCAGCAGGCAGGCGGGAAGGGCCGCCGGGGCGCGCGTGCCGAGGCGCCCGCCGTGGTCCAGGTTACGAGCGGTCCGGCCGCCCGGTCCTCCCTCGCGGCACGCGGGAAGCGGCTCCGACCCCGGCCCCAGAAGCCGCGACACGCGCCGCCACCCGCCACCCGTTCTCACCCTCGGGGCTCACCGGTGCTGCAGCCCCACGAGCCCCAGCGTGATCACGTGCGGCACATCCAGCTGCGTGGGCCACTCTCCGGAGGCGATGCAGCCGAACACGCCGCATTCCTCCCGGATCCCCAGCTCCTCCAGCTCCATGTTGCCGCCGGAAGCACGTGCCGGGACCTGCAAGCCGCGGCCGGGGCTCTGCGCACTCGGCGGCCGCACGCTCGGCCCAACCCGCCCAGCAGCTCTTCAGCCCGCGACGGCCTCTTCCTCCCGCGGCGCCTCGACCCTCGCTACTGCGGCGGCGCGTGCTCGCCCTCAGCCGGCTGGAGCCGCTCGCCCCGCCCCCCTCCGCCACTCTGCCACGCCCACTCCGGGCCCACCAATCCGGAGGCCGCAGGCGAAAGCTACTACGCTCGGGAGTGGGCGGGGCCTTGGGCCCAGGGCACGGGGGTGGAGCTCCCCCGGGGGAGCGCCGGGAGGAGCACCTTTTGGCTGCACGTGGAAATCGCCCGCGACTCGGGCGATCGCTGAGACTTTGGGGGGGGGGGCGTGCCCACGTCATTTCTCCCCCTCGGAAGCTATAAAACTTGGTAACCCTCTCCAGCGTGCTTTCCACAGGCCGGACGCCTTGGTACGCTCCATTTTCGCTGCTCCGGCGGCCCGGAAGGCACTCGGGTCGCTTCAGTGAGAGGAGCGGAAAGGCCGGGCGGCCAGCGAGCAGCTTTTCGCGCCCGACGGGCTGGTGGAGAGGAGGGGCGATAGGGCGGCGCTGCGCCTGCGCGGCGGGAAAGCCTCGAGGCGGGTGCGGGGAGGGGGGGAGGGTTTGCCTGCGGGAGTCCGGGCCTGGGGGGCGGAGCCCCGAGCGCGGCTGGGGAACTCGCGGGGGGCAGCCGCGGGCCGTGGGGGGGGCGTGTCAACGGGCGGCACCTCCCTCCTCCGCCCCGTGAGCCTCTCCGCTGTTTGTTTTTTTTTTTTTCCAGAGTCCTTCTCTGCCCGCCTGTCCGGGGCTGCATCTCCTGTCCTCGCGCGATCATGGCGACGGCCGAGGGTAAGTGGCCGGCGCCCGGGATGCGCGGGCTTTTGTCCCCGCGCGCCGCTCTCGCCCCGTCGGAGCCCCGCGGGCGCGGCGCGTGGGCCGCCAGCTCCAGGGCCTCCTTCCCGCCGCCGGGCCGCGCCGGGCCGCGCCGCGCCGCGCCGCTGGGTCGGCGAACACGTGGTCCGGGCGCTGCGCTTCCATCGCGCGGGATCACGCGCGTCTCCCCGGGTTCTCGGGACTCTCCGAATCCCCGGGCGGGCGACGCCGCGGGAAGGGAAGGAATTGGGGCGCTGGGCACCTCCCGCGTAGATCCTTGCCAAAACAAAACCAAGTTGAGAGTCGAGCGCTGACGCGGGAAAGTCTGGCATTTCCGGTTTAGGGGACTCTTTTTTTTTTTTTTAAATAACCTCCAATTCCAGAAAGTTAAGAGTTGAATCTTTTTAGGAAAAAAAAAAATCTTTGATCTGTCCGTGCAGGCTTTGCGGTGTTTTCCAAAATTGTCTTTTACCGATACCAGGATGATGGCTTTGGAGAGCGCCAGAGCCCAGAGACGCTTTTTTGAATGATTTTGCATTTATTATAGATAACAGGATCGTTTACAAATCCAGGAGCAACCAGCACTTAAGCTAAGCCACGCGCACTGCGCCCTCCTCTCCAATTTCTGGTTTGTGATTGCGCCACCAATTTGCTTATATTGCCAAATCAGGACAATTACTGCCAGAGCGAATTGGATTTCGGTATCAAACCAAAAAAAATTGTACCCTGGGGCCGGGAGATGGAGCTCAAGGGGCTGGAGCATATGCGTTGCCTTTGCAGCCCCCCCACACCGCGAGCATATGGTCTAAAACCCAAAATTTAACCTGACTAGCAGTCAAGATTCAGATGCTAAAGAGTTCCATAGATGTGATAGACCAGATTTTTTTTTCTGCCATCCCCTAAAGAAATAGTCCCTCTAAGGGGCATGATATATAGTACTAGTATTCTGGTGCCCTGGGTGGACCCCCTAAAAATTACTGTTGTTTTTTTTTTCCTGTGAATTGTAAGCACGAGTCCACTAAAGTTAATTCATGGGTTTATTCCCTGTGTGTTTCTTGTAGATAAACACTGTCTAATAAAAATATAAGGCTATGTCGCTTTGTTAGCTACTTCTGTAAAAAGAAACAGGTGAACTTAATTGTAATAACCTTTATTTAACTCAGTCCATTATGTACTGGTTGGATGTAAACATTATTAAAAATTTGCTGGGTTGAATCATTTTTTTAATCATGCTGAAATCTGTTGTGTATTTTATGCATACTAATATCACAAGCTAACCCTGCTTTTTCCACCACCAGTGTCTCCAGGTTTCTGCCCTCACCCCCCCCCCCCCACCTGCCTCAAGCTTCCAGTTGTGGATCAGTCCTCCTGGACCTCATTTCTACTGTCTTTAGATATTAGTCTTGTATTGTGTTTTTTAATGTCCCGCAAAAAGTGCAATCATTCTCTTTGCCCCCTTCCCTCTGACTCATGTCACCTATTATGATATTCTCCATTTTCATCATGTATAAGCAGATTTCATGACTTCACTCTTCTTAACACTTGTATAGTATTCCATTGTGTAGATGTACCATAGTTTTTTTAATCCGGGTCTGTTCTTGTATTGTTTCCAGATTCTGGCTATTGTGAATAGTGCTGCAGTGAATGTAGGAGTGCAGATGGCTTTTCTGCTTGTGATTTTGGGGGGGGGGAGGGCCTAGAATACATTCCCAGGAGCGAGCTCAATTTCTTGTTTTTTAAGGATGCCCATTCTCTAGAAAGGCTGGAGCAATTGGCATTCCTACCAGCAGTGAATGAGAGTCCCTTTCTCCCCTCATCCACATAAGCTACTAGTGGTTCTTTCTCTTTCCTGATGTGTGCCTATCTCTTCCACCTGCCCTAATTTAATTTCATTCTCTGCCATAAATTATAGCCATAAATAGTAGTCATTAATGATCTTTCATAATGGAAATCTATCATTTTATTTAAAAGCCACATGGGCGTTTTGGAATAGCTCACTGAATACGTTGTAAACTCAACCAACATGATTTATGAGGCCTGAAAGCTGAGTAGTAAAATGGAATGGAAGCAGATTGTGTTTTCAGCTTTAGAACTTCTCAAAGCCTGGGAGGGTGTTGTGGAAGTTTCATTGAAGTACGAATCTGGAGCACTAAATTGGGGCTAATTTTTTTTTTTTTTACCTTATTCACAAGTTAAGATGCCACAGTTGGCAGATGGGATTCTCTCGAAATTAGGGGTCTGGCTGAGGCACCTATTAGAGTTTATTGCCTGGCCAGAAAGTACAGAAAAAAAGGAAGACACTTGCTCTGCATGTGGTGAATTCAGAGTTCATCCCTAACACCATATCTGGTCCCCCAAGCACTGGGGCTGGGAGTGGGGTGGGCATTCCTCAGCACAGATCCTGGAATAACCCCTGAGCACCACCAGGTATGCTACCACCTCTCAAACCCTCCCCCAAATGAACTGAATTGCAAATTGCAGCTAGTTATTTCTATTAGCTGCTTATCAACCTTTTTTTTTCCCGCTTTTTTGGGTCACACCCAGCGATGCACAGGGGTTACTCCTGGCTCATGCACTCAGGAACTCCTCCTGGCCGTGCTGGGGGTGGGGGGACCGTATGGGATGGTGGGAATCGAACCTGGGTGGGCCGTGTGCAAGGCAAATGCCTTCCCCGCTGTGCTGTGCTCCAGCCCCTGCTTATCAACTCTTGATGAACCACTTTAGTCTTATCTCCCACCAGTCTTTTCTGTTTCTCAGCTATTGCTTGGCCCCTCTTCTGCCCTATCTCAAGTGCTCACCCAGAACTCCAGTAATAAGAAGCCTTATAGTCATCAGCCTTGTGGATTTTTTTTTTTCCTTTCCACTGCACCACTACCTACCCCTGTTTTTCCTTGCTGGCTAAAACGTGGTCAGTCTTAGGACCTCAGCCTAAACTTTACTTTATTCTAGTCTTTAATCTCTAATGTATAAACTAGCTTATATGGCTCTGCTGTAAACGTATGATTCCATACTTTATATGTTTGTTACATTTTATTCACGTTTTGTTTAATTTTTGCATCTCTCAGACTCAAGTCCCTTGAGAGTTGAATTGGAATCTTGTCTTCTAACATATCCCCTGCACCTGGTACACGATGCAAAAAGCTTGAAAGAGAGAGATGCGCCCGGGGACCCTGAAGGATGGTTTCTCGCACTAAGTCCTTTAACATATTCCTTAACTTTAACCTCTATGTTCTGATGACTAAGGTCTAGTTTTATTTAGGCCATAATGATCATGAACAGAATTGAATTCTTTTGTTTTTGTTGTTTGTTGCCGTTTTCTGCTATTAGTGAAAAGATAGCTATCGGTGGTGTAGTGTGGAAACAGGATTAATAAGTACAGAGAGGTGCTCCCAGATAAACTCATTTCAGTATGCACAGAGAAATTTCCTCTGGCACATTAACTCCTGATCTCTGAATTTATAGAATTATAATTCTAAACAGGATTGTGGAATCAAATGTGATACTTTGGAAATACATTAGATTGTTGGGGGGGGTTTTGTAATTTTTTATTCGTGAATCACTGTGGGGTATAGTTATAGACTTACAAACTTTCGTGCTTGCATTTCAATCATACAACGGTCAAGTCATACAATGATCAAGTACCCATTCCTCCACCAGTGCCCATTTTCCACCACCAATGGTCCCAGCTTCCCTCCCACCACCTCCACCCCACCCTGCCTCTGTGGCGGGGCATTCCCTTTTGTTCTCTCCTTTTGGGTGTTGTGGTTTGCAGGAGAGGTATTAAGTGGCCGCCATGTTTGGTCTGTAGTCTTTCAGTCCGCATCTCCATCCTGAGCAGGCCCTCCTAGCACCCTTTACTTGGTGGTCCCTTCTCTGTCTGAGCTGCCTTTTCCCCAAGCATGCCAGGCCAGCTTCTAAGCTGTGGGGTAATCCTTCTGGTACTTATCTCTACTATTTTTGGATGTTAGTCTCCCAGATAATTTCCATATTGATCCACCTATGTGCAAATTTCATGACTTCATCTTATCTAACAGCTGCATAGTATTCCATTTATGTAGATGTACTAAAGTTTCTTTAACCAGTCATCTGTTCTCTGGCACTTGGGTTTTTTCCAGATTCTGGCTATTGTAAACAGTGCTGCAATGAACATACAAGTGCAGGTGTCATTTCTACTATACTTTTTTGGATCTCTGGGATATATCCCCAGAAGTGGTATTGCTGGGTCAAATCTGAGCTCAATTTCTAATTTTTTGAGAAGCATTCATGCTGTTTGAAAATACATTAAATTTTTTTAAAGACTTAAAAAGTAGAAATAAGCTAATCTACACTAATGATAATTTATATATTCTCTGGTTTTATTAGTCTAGATGATTTAATATTTATTATTTGGGAAATTCCTTCCCACATCTGATGTTTCCTTTCTTATTTCCACAGTTGTTAATATTGGTAAAAAACTCTATGAGGGTAAAACAAAAGAGGTCTATGAATTGTTAGAGAATCCGGGAAAGGTTCTCCTACAGTCCAAGGACCAAATAACTGCAGGAAATGCAGCCAGAAAGAACCAGTTAGAAGGAAAAGCTGCCATCTCAAACAAAATCACCAGTTGTATTTTCCAGTTATTACAAGAAGCAGGTAAGGAGCTCACCCTTATTATTTGAACTAATACCCTATGGATTATCAGTTATTTCTTTGTTAGTATAGGAAAGAAGTAAACAACATCCTCCACAAATTCCTCCCTTCTCTTAGACACACTATGATCTCTTGTTCAGATTAACATACCTGGGGAAGTCTCACAAACCAAGCTCATTTGGATGTGTGGTGTGGGAGGGAAGAGGGGGCAGATTGAACCCAGGTCTCATGCGCCGAAACCACTGAGTCATCCACCTGGCCAGTAGCCAGACAAGACACTTTTAAGTTTCACTATAGTAATACTCAAGGTTAGTAATATTTGGTAGTATCATTTAACTAGCTCGAAGGAATCTTGGCACTTTGCTATATTATTTTCTTTTCTTATTTTTATTTTCTTATTTGTAATCCTTTCTACAACTTCCTTCTCCTAAGACATCTTCCATCTTGAAGAACTTTCCTGGAGGAAAGCCCATTTTAATATTAGGCAGCTCTAATTTGTTAAAAGACCACTATTGAATGGAGAAAAGGAAGAAAATTTTGTCCGAGTTGTGGGCTGCCAGAGAGAAAGACACTAAGAGAAAGACCTGGTTAGTTGCTTCCCACCCAACTTTTATGCAGTTGGAACTGGCAGGCTATTCTCAGAAGAGGAAACTTTTGCGTGTACTAAATAAGAAATGTGTATTTCAGATTCCAGATTAATATCACCCTCCGTAGAACATTTGGAGGAAAAACAAATTCATGTTAAATGTTTTATTATCAGCTGTTTGCCTCCAGATTTTATTGCTTTGGTTGGCCTGGTATCTTCAGCAGGGCGGAATGCAGCTGGACTGGGGCTGCAGGACTTTTCACAGCCTACAGACAAGGAAAGGATTTTTCTTCTAGGCTGACTCAAAACCTTCTGCAAATTAACCTGAGTCCAATTTCATGCCACAGATTGATGGGCTGAAATTCACTACTTGTATATGCAACGTTTACTCTGCTAACTGGAGAGATAACACAAAATTTCAAATCCCTCTTTTCACTTGAAAGCCGTGAAAACTATTTAAAAGACTGCAAGCATACCTTCTCATTCTGCCATGGGCACATCTGAGCACCACCGGGTGTGATCCAAAAACAAAACCATTTTTGCAGATAGTTGTTGCTTTTGGTTGCTTTCCAAAGTATTGAATAGTTCATTGTCAGTTTTACCCACCATTATAGTTGCTTTGGGAGCAGAAGATAAGCTAGTCTTGTCTCTTGTCCACAGAATTAATTGCTTCATACTTCATAAGAGAACCATATCCAAAATTTAGGCCAGTTGTGATAAGAAAATCGCTATTTTATGGGTGAATGATATGTACAAGCTGCAACTAAATGATTTCATGTACTGCCACTACATTATTTATGGACCTTATGGCAAGTTAGGTGTGCAGTACAGGGGTGTTCAAATTAAATTGCTTTTCAAAGGTAAAGACACTGGAACCCAATTGTTCTATTTTAAATATTCTGTACTGTGAGTTCAAAAAGCATGGGCGTGTGTTTGGTGGCAAGGACCACCTGCTCGGGCCTACAGACAAGGTGAGGGAACAGGGCACCCAGGAATGGGGCCCCTGGCTAGCTGGTACTCAGTGACTATTTCATTCTTATCCTCATCCTTACAGCTTCGTTCTCCCTACTTCTCTCTTACAAGCAGTTACATAGAAATATTATAGGGTAGGAGTACACATAGGTGGGGTTGAACATTATCCTAACAACAAACAGATATTAAATCCCTCCTTCAGGGGAGTTCTTCTAGAAGATAAATTCTGGGACAAAATCTCATCTGGGGGTTCAGCACTCTGAGATTACTAGGAGATCTGCTCAAGCCCATCTAGGGCATAATTGCTTTCTCCTTAGCGAGTAGTAATTCATTATGCATAAACATTATATTGAGTACTATTAGTCCTTGCCATTTTGTATGGACATGGTAAGAGATATATTAAACTTAAAGGTTGGCTCTTCCTGGGGACATCTTGCTATATATCCCAGACTTCAGTCCTCAGGCCAGGTTAGTCTTTCCTAACCCCAGCAGGGTCTTTGTTCAGTTACTTCTTTTGGGGTCATGACAGAGTTTGTCCATGACCATGCTCTTAATTATACTTCTTGTAGCATTTAGCCTGTCCCTTTTTGATGCTGGGGTAGCTTACAGCTTGCCCTGGGTCCATCCTTGTTCCTTGCTGGGACTTTCCTTTTGGGGATCTTAAGAAGTAAGGGCAACTGAGGCTTAAGTCAGGTAAATATGATGGATGCCCAAGAGTAAATATTACTTGCAGTCAATTAACTCCCATGTTACAAAGCATAGCATCAACTTTACAAAAAGGACATTGCTAAACCATGCAAAGGACATAAAGAGAAAGCAGTAAAGGATTATTAGTGCCTGATGGAATTGGGTGTGCCTCAGGAGCACTGTTGTGGGAGGAAATAAACACTCCCTACAGAAGGAGCAAAGACAAACCAACCAGTGTTATGAACACTGTGCCATGTGACATTACAATTCCTTAGTATTTTGATAAGCTGTAGAAAGCCATAATTAATACTTTTTCTACTTTCACCTCTTTCTAAAACGGTATACTTTTATTGTACCATTTCAGAGTGTTAGATTATGGTTTGCTATTGTTGTGAATGGAAGTTTTATGATCTTTTGTTTTGCCTTTATTACAACTTTGGTGCTTTATTTATTTATTTACTTTGGTGCTTTTTTAAATAAAACTTTTTCTCTGTAGGCATCAAAACTGCTTTCACCAGAAAATGTGGGGATACCGCTTTCATTGCACCCAAGTGTGAAATGATTCCAATTGAATGGGTTTGTAGAAGAATAGCAACTGGTTCCTTTCTCAAAAGAAATCCTGGTGTCAAGGAAGGATACAAGTTTTACCCACCTAAAGTGGAGATGTTTTTCAAGGTAATTATATTTTCTGTGACTCACTTTTGCAAACTAACAAACTTAAAATTACAAAGATTTGAATACTCCAGAAATGTACGTGAATAATGCTTCAGTAATGACTATGTTTTCAAGACAGAACATCTCTGAAATTGCACATAATCTAATTAGCAAAATGGACAAATACAAATTGACTATTTCTAGGAAGAGAAGTAGCAATTCATAATTTATTTGGGGGCCAAACCAAATATCGCTTATGGGCTACTATTCCTGACTTGAGTGCTTAGGGTATCCACTTCGGCAGTCTTCAGGGATCAGATTCAGGCTCCGGCATGCAAAGTTTACACTTTTGCCTTTTTAGCCATCTCCCTGGACCCACAGCATATTAAATTTTACTGTTGAGAGACTGGGGAGTTAACTCGAAAAGCTAAGCACATGCTGTTCATCTAGGGTACCTACCCAGTTCGTGGTCCTCTGAATAACTCAAGGAGTAATATCTAACACAGAGCTAGGAGTAGCTCTCACATCTCACCAGGTATCACCCAAAACAAAATAATGTTTTGGTTTTTTTTTTTTTTTACTGTTGAAGTAAAGGCAAATATAAAGCATATTTTCATATTCTAACCTAGAAACACCATTTTCATGTCTGTATTGCATCTTCCATCTGAAATAAATATAAAGAATTCACATAATAATTATGTAAATTAGGATAAAAATAAAATAAAACGTAAAATTTATTTTATTAAAAATTTAAAAAATTATTAAAATAATTATGTAAATTAGGATAAAATAAAATAAAAAATAAAATTTATTAGGATGAAAAAATGAAAAGTAGTGTCTGGGGTATTACCTAAACTGTAAAGAAAGTATTTCGTAACTGTGCGGCCAGAGCAATAGTACAATGGGTAGGGCATTTGCCTTGCACACCGTTGAACCGGGGATCCCTAGCATCCCATATGGTCCCCCAAGCACTGCCAGGAGTAATTTCTGAGTGCAAAGCAAAGAGCATCGCTGGGTGTGAACCAAAAAGCAAAAATAATAATAACAATGATAACCTCTTAAGCAGTTTTCTTTAGTTATTACATAATGTACCTAAAACTTAATGGTCTTTATAAGCTCTTTTTTAAGAATGATACCACAATATTGTGAAAGGTGCATTTTGGAAAGAATGGATGGTTAAAAATGTCTTGGCCTTTCTGTTGACTATAAGTTAAAGAAAAAGTTAAATCACAAATTTGTCTCTAAATCTGTAGAAGGAGGACAAATTCTTTCAAATACTTTGACCTGTAAGTAATCAGCTACCTAAATATTTTTAATTCCAAAGTAGATGAATTAAAATAATGGCTATAAGTTAAAACTATTTTAAGCAAACATTAGATTGGTAGAAAAACTAATATTCTTACTTTCATGTTCAAGGAGAAAAGGACTTTTTCTAGGAAATTAAAACTTTCAGATGTAAAATAACTACACCAATGTTTTTCTCACAGGATGATGCTAATAATGATCCCCAGTGGTCTGAGGAACAACTGATTGCTGCAAATTTTTGCTTTGCTGGACTTGCTATAGGAAAGACTGAAGTGGACATTATGAGCCACGCTACGCAGGCCATTTTTGAAATACTGGAGAAGTCCTGGTTGCCTCAGAATTGTACGCTGGTTGATATGAAGGTACAAAAAAAAAAAAATAGAGCAAAGAAGTAACAGCAAAGAGGTTTTTCATAATACATAATTTTTTTTGTTGGTGCTGTTTCTAGATTGAATTTGGTGTTGATGTAACAACTAAAGAAATTGTTCTTGCTGATGTCATTGATAATGATTCATGGAGACTTTGGCCAGCAGGAGATCGAAGCCAGCAGAAAGACAAACAGGTAATTCTTCGGGGTTTTTAAATCTGACAAAACCAAACCAAGAAAAAAAGAGACAATTGTTTTTCCTTATGGTCTAAACCTGAGATGATTGCTAATTATTTTTATCTAAAACCTCTTAGATTTTCTGTATCCTGAAAAATAGCAATATTTTACATTTGCAAAGCAGATTTCTCATTTTGGGCTCAGCGTGTTACCAACATTTGTTAATTGAAAACTGAAGTTCTAAGAGGATAGTTTGATTTAAAAAGTTATTGTCACGGGGCTAGAGAGATAGTATAGCAGGTAGAGTGCTTGCCTTGCACTTGGCTGATCCTGCAGGAATTAACTCCAGAGCGTTGCCAGGTATATGGCCCCCCAACTTAAATAATTTAAATAAACTAAGTGGCAGCTTTAAAATTGTATTCCAAGGTTCCAGAGAATTCAGTTCCATTTCTTCTCTTCACTGTGAAATCCATGATTAGCACAGGTCAGCTGTATATTTAATACCATAAACATATTAAGGCAGGTCATTGCAGCTACTTATCCATAAATGAACATTAAGTATGCTTCGGTCTGGACTTACTTCTGGAAATAAATATATTTGCAGATCTTTCTCTTGCTGTGAAAGCCCTTCATAATCTCTACCCAAAACTCAGGAGCCAAATAACTTAGAACATTACTATTACTATAATAGAAAACTTGTATTTAAAACTTATGTATTTTGTGCTTTCTTCAGCAGCATGTATTAAAGTTGAAGCTTTTGTATTTTATTATCTAGTCATACCGTGACCTCAAAGAAGTAACTCCAGAAGGACTCCAAATGGTCAAGAGAAATTTTGAGTGGGTTGCAGAAAGAGTAGAGGTAAGTATTTTACAAAGAAAATCATGCTTTATTATGCTTCCCCCCCCCCCCAAAGAAAATCTTGGTTTAAAAAATGGGGCGAGCAGATGACTCAGAGTCAAGTGCATGTATTGCATGTAGGAATCTCGTGTTCAGTTTCCCGTGCTACATGGTCCTCTGAGCACTTCTGAAGTGACCGACTAGGTATGGCACCCTGCCTTCGCCCGGCCTCCATAAAGAGGGGTCATGTTTTGCATGTGGGAGCCTGGATTTGGTCCTTGTTAGCACTGCTGGGAGTGAGCACTGTCAGAAATAGCCCCCAAGCATAAAGCCAGGAACAGACCAGGTATGGCCCCAAAACAAAAAAAGAATTAGAACTCTTTTATTATACTTTTATAAAAATTTTTACTCACCAGGTATTATGCAGACCACTCTAAATAGAAACAGTATTGCATTTTTGGCTCTTTTGTTCATCATGGTAGGAAGGGGTAGGGTTGAGACCAAACCTGGTGGTGCTTAGAAACTGTTTTAGCTTTACTCGGTGATGGTAGTGCTCAGGAGACCATGTGTAGTGTCAGGAATTCAAACCACAGTTGATGGGGCATAGAGCAAAAACTTTAATTCCTGTACTATCTCTCCAACCCTTTTTTTTTTTCAATCTTTTAGTTTTGTTGTCTATGTGGTAATTTATGTTTGCCTTAAATTGAGGAAGGGAGGTGTGAAGCTGAACCACACACTTTGGTCCTCAGGGTACTACATTCATGCCAGGGATTGAATTGGGACCAGCCTTATGCAAGGGAAGCACCTTACCTCTCTAGACCCTATTTGAATCTATTTTTGCCCTTCTCTTGTCTTGCATGTCCACCCCTTTGTTTTTCTAGTTGCTTCTGAAATCACAAAGTCAATGCAGGGTTGTTGTATTGATGGGCTCAACTTCTGATCTTGGTCACTGTGACAAAATCAAGAAGGCTTGTGGAAATTTTGGCATTCCGTGTGAACTTCGAGTGACATCGGCTCACAAAGGACCCGATGAAACTCTGAGGATTAAAGCCGAGTATGAAGGTAGGTGCCACATAACTAGAGGATTTGGGGAAGGTCTTCTAGTCCGCCTCAAATCTTTCCATTTAGCAGTGCTGGAAAAGAACTTTCTCGAATTCCCAAGGAGAAGTGTATAGGCACACCTGATACCTCCAAAGAGTTAAAGGGTCTCTTCTTTTCATAAAGAATTGCAGAAGTGGAAGCGGGAAAAAGATGAGTCTTTATCAAGAATATGCCCCTCAGACATTGTTCCCAGTTTGCTCCACCAGAATATAAGTGCCCTGTCAATGTGGAGACCTGAGGTTGAAGCAATAGGTCCTCCCTTGTGTCTCACCTTTACTGGAGGTACTAGAACATATGTTAATGATTAATTAATTAATTTTAAGCAGGTAGGGTGTTTGCCTTGCACTTGGCCGACCCAGGTTTGATTCCTTCGTCCCCTCCGAGAGCCTGGCAAGCTACCAAAAGTGTCTCGCCAGCACGGCAGAGCCTGGCAAGCTCCCCATGTCATATTTGATATGCCAAAAACAGTAACAACAGGTCTCGAGACGGAGACGTTACTGGTGCCGCTCGAGCAAATCGATGAACAAGGGGAGGACAGTGCTATAGTGCTACTAGAACATGAAATTAACTAAAGTTTTATTTGAAACATACAGGTCTCTGGGGGGTAGCACTAATCTCAAATAATGGGCCACTGGGAACTTAACAAAACATTTCTGATATGGAAGAAGTGTTCTTTTTTATTTTGTTTATTATTGGTGGAGAGGAGGGCACATTTGGTAATGCTCCAGGATAACTCCTGGGTCTGCACTCAGGAATTACTCCTGGCAGTGCTCGGGAGACCATATGGGATGCGGGGCTCAAACTTGGGTCAGTTGCATACAAAGCTAGTACCCTGCCCACTATACTTTCTTTTTAAAGATGCTTGATCAGAGTAGGGATAGAAGAAAGAAAGAAATTCCTCTGAACCTATTAACTGGGTCTCCATACATTCTGCTTCTTGTGGCTTATGTGATTGGTTTCTTTCTTTCAATTAGCCTAAGTAGCAGTAATCCGAAAAGGCCTTTGAGCCATTTTGCTATTGATTAGTAAAACTCTGGTACCTCCTTATAGTATAATGTGGCTCAAACTGACCCAATCTGTTTCTGTAATTTCATTTCCTTGACACGTAATAATTGATAGAGTGAACCGTGTGTGTGTGTGTGTGTGTATTAATAGTGTCTTGTTTAAATCTATAAAATCTATTGAATGCTGAGCATAACTCTAAACTTGTGATTTCCCTAGGGGATGGCATTCCTACTGTGTTTGTGGCCGTGGCAGGCAGGAGCAATGGCTTAGGACCAGTGCTATCTGGTAACACTGCATATCCGGTTATCAGCTGCCCTCCCCTCACTCCAGACTGGGGATCTCAGGACGTGTGGTCTTCTCTTCGACTGCCCAGTGGTGAGATACATTGAGTTTTTGAAATGCTCATTAAAAATTCAAATATGCAAAGTAGTACAAGATGGCATATTCAGATTCTCTGCGTCCATCACTCACTTTTATCAATTAATGCCTCATTGCCCCCTGCTGATGAATTATTTTAAAGAATATATTAGACATTGTAGTATATTAACTCTTTCTCTAAAAGTGAAAAGACTCTAGATTTTGTTGTCTTCTATTATAAGTATAATTACTTCATTGTTGCTAGTTGATAGAACTGTTGGGGCCCATCACTTCAGGCAGTGCTTGGGCAAGATGCTGAGAATTAAACCCAGGGCCTCAGGCATTCGAGGCTTATCCTATACCAATTGAACTTTTTTTTTTTTTTTTTTTTTTTTTTTGCACTGGCAAGGACTATATCAGGCACCTCACATAGGCTTATGCTCTACCACTAAGCCATATCCCTGGGCTGGTGGGTGGAGTAAAGGTTTGGGTTTTTAGTTGTAGTGATGCTTGCAGGGTCACATCCAACACTGCTCAGGACCATGTGATCTTGGGAATTGGCCCAGAGTCTGGCATGTGCAAGACTAGCACCTTGACCATTTGACTGTCTCACCAGCCTCAGATTTCTGGGTTTAATTATTACCATGATAACCATATTTATCTATGAATATCTAAAGATAATTGCTTTTTTTTAATTGGTGCCATAATTAGATATATACTTCCTCTTCCAGTTTCTCTTTTGGATTTTCAGATTTCAGCCTTCAGAATATCCTGGGATAGGGAGGCTCATGTTTCTTTGAGTAGGAGACAAAACCCGGCTGTGCTCTGAGGACTATGCAGTGCCAGAGATCAAATTTGGGCTCTGGCATACGAACCATGTGCATTATACTTTTACACCATCTCCTCTCTTCTGTGTGTGTGTTTGTTTTGTTTTGTTTGCTATTCTCTGTTTTCTGTATTCATTTCCTCACATTGACTTTTCAGCTCCTTTTTTTTTTCTTTTTGGGTCACACGTGGCTTTGCACTCAGGAATTACTCCTGGTGATGCTCAGGGGATCATATGGGATGCTAGGAATTGAATCTGGGTCTGTCATGTGCAAGGCAAACACCCTACCCACTGTACTCCAACACCGACATTTCGACTCTTCATTTGAGTTTAATTTGAATTTTTTTTAATCAAAGAGATCTTTATTTTTCTGCCATTACCACTAACCCCAACATCCCTTAGTCTTTACACTAACACCTTTGGCTTCTGAAATTATTATATTCTTTCATACTAGTTCCTTTCTTTCATAGTAGTTCCTTTCTACAGTTGTCTAGTAATCTTTAGCCATTGGCTCTGTACAAGTGGGGCATTATGAAAAACCAGTTGGTAACTTTGTGCAGTTGGGTGAATCCTGCCAAAAGTGGGCTCTATTGTGGCGTGATCTGGTAGGCTAGTTTTTTGACTAGCCTTACAAATGTTTTTTTCCCCATATTTTGACCAGAATTACCCAGAGAAACTTTCTGATCTTATTCTCTTACCTGGAAGGAAAGACCTGACTACACATGTCTTGGGGGTTTTAATCTGTGTGTGTAAACTTAATCCCTGGTTTCACTGTGACCTTCTCTACCTCCACTGTATCTGTATCTGTAACCCACAGTTCCATTGAAGTTTTGCTTACCTTCCCAAAATTGCAAAACTCTACCCTCGGAGAGAAAGGGGATTAGATGACAGAACTGCTTTGACTTTTATCGGTTTTCCTTCTCTGGTTTCATTTTCACCCAATTTCTTCCATCCAAGATGAGTGGGCGTACTAATTTCTGTTTTCACTCCATATGCTATTTCAGCTCTTAAGATATTCTTCGTTTTCGAAGGCTTTGTTCTTAACAAGTTTATGCCTATTTTTTTTATTACTGTTGTTATATAAAGCTTCAAAGATTTACCCACTTCTGTGTTAAAAATCTCCCAGGCACAGGGAGGGGGATAGTATGGGTAGACCATTTTCTTGAGGAGACCAGTGCGGGTTCATTCTCTAGTACAGTGTAATGGTTCTCTGAGCCCTGCCAGAAGTGAACCCTAAGCAGAGTCAGGAAAAAGCTCTGAGCACTGTGAGGTGTGCCCCTTATTCATCCAACCACCTCCCCCCCAAAATAAAAAATCTTGAGGGGCTGGAGAGATTATTCAGTGGGCCAATTGCATAAAAAGCATGCTTTGCATTCAGGGTGCATCCTTGGAACATAGAGCTAGAAGTAGCCCCCACACACCCCAAGCACAAAAATGCATACCACATTTATGTGTTCACTGAGTGTGTTTATTCATTCATCTTAGAAAATGAAGGATATGCTGAGAAAAATACGTAAAATTTTATCTAGTACCATCCAGGAGGAAGCTGAGCTACTAGGCCAAAAATCGCTGGCAGTTGGGAGCTGACAGTGGGAGTACAGTGGGGAAGGTGCTTGCATTGCATGTGGCCAACCCTGATTCAAATCTGGGTATCTCATTTGGTCCCATGAGTCCCACCAGGAGTTCCTTGGCAGAGATCCAGAAGAAAATCTTAAGTACCATCAGATGTGGCCCCAGAACAAAAATGTGACTTTGCAGGGGTTGGGGAGGCGGTATATAAGCTAGCTGATTATACTCAGACCACATCCAGAAACTGCTTTTACAACCCCACTCCTCAAAGGTACTTTCTTATTCTACTCTTAAGATTTTGTTTCCTTCATGGACATGGAGAGTATCATGCTGAGTGAAATGAGTCAGAAGGAAAGGGACAGATATAGAATGACTGCATTCATTTGTGGTATATAAAAAATATATATATTGTAGAAGAATAATATCCATGGTCAGGGTAAACGGGGGTTAGGACTGGTCCGTGGTTGGAACTAACCACAAATGTGTGTGGGGCTGAGGGTAGGTAAGATAGGGAAGAGACTCCTATGACAATAATAATTGGGAATGATTACGTTGGACAAGATGTGAGGGTTAAAAGCAGCTAAGAGATATTCTTTTTTTTTTTTTATTAGTGAAACACCATGAGCTGCAGTTGTAGACTTACAAACTGTAAGTGCTTGGTTTTCAGTTATATAGTGATTGAGTACCCATCCCTCCACCAGTGCCCATTCTCCACCACCAGTGATCTCAGTAGCCCTCCCATCCCCACACCCCATTCCCCACCCCACCCCACCCCACCCCGCCTCTGTGGCAGGGCATTCTAAGGGATATTCTTGATAACCTTTCAGTATCAATATTACAAACCACAGTGCCCAAAAAGGAGAGAGTGGCAGGGGAGAGGAAGAGGAAGAGGGAGGGAGGAGAGATAGAGACAGAGTGAGGTGTGCCAGGCGTGAATGCCATCAAAGTGGATGGGATGATGGGAGGGAACCAGGAAACATTGGTGCTGGGAAATATACACTGGTGAAAGGATAGGTGTTGGAATACTATATGACTGAAACCCAATGATTCTCTATTCCACAGTGATTGAATTAAAATTTTTTTTAAAAAACTGCTACATTTTAAAATAATACATATTAATATTATAAAAATTTTAAATAGTGAATACAGAAGATTTTGTTTTTATTTAAAAAATAAAACAAAAGTTTTGTTTTTATTTTTTTTTTTTGTTAAAAAATGCTGTGACAGATAAATTTCGCTTTGCGAGTAGGTTCGGTCAAAAATGATAGAAGTTGTGTATAAGATTTCAGTGTATGGCAGATAAATTTTGCTTATCCTCTCCTAATTGTTTTAGTTCTCTAAGGATAAAGATGGAAATTCCCTCAATAAATGCAAGCTTTGGATATAAGGAATATGAGTGATAATAGCATTTTTAATTTGTGGTGAATAGGGCTTCTCTGAGTATGGAAGAGTTGACTGAATGGTATTTACTAATCGTGAGTTCCATTTTCTTTTTCTGAACCAATAGGTCTTGGCTGTTCAACAATACTTTCTCCAGAAGGATCAGCTCAGTTTGCAGCTCAGATATTTGGATTAAACAACCATTTGGTATGGGCAAAACTGAGAGCAAGTATATTGAACACATGGATTTCCTTGAAGCAGGCAGATAAGAAAATCAGAGAAGAAAGTCTATAAATATAAACACTGCATTTTTTTTATTATTACATTCTTTAAGAGAAGAAATTTCTAATTTAGCTGTAGAAGAAAAATCAAGATAAATAAGTGGTTCAAAATCAATCACAGGGGCTGGAGTGATAGTACAGCAAGTAGGGGGTTTGCCTTGCATGTGGCCAACCTGGGTTTGATCCCCAGCATCCCATATGGTCCCCTGAGCACCGCCAGGGGTAATTCCTGAGTGCAGAGCAAGGAGTGACCCCTGTGCGTTGCCGGGTGTGACCCAAAAAGAAAAAAATAAATAAAAATTAAAAAATAAAATCCATCAGAAAACAAATGTTATCGAATAAATGCTTTTCAAAGTACAATGGATTAAAAGCTTTGTGGATTAGTAGACCGTATGTCCATGTTTATCACTTTCTTTATAAAAGTGAATTACTGTATAAACATGTTAAAATTAGTTCCTATCTAAACGTGAGCATTAAGTAACATAAAAATTAATGACATATTCGATATGCCAAACACAGTAACAAGTCTCACAGTGTTACTGGGCCTGCTCAAGCAAATTGATGAACAGCGGGTGGACAGTGACAGTGACAATAATAACACTACTAAAGTTCCTACTTGAATTGTATCTAAATCTATAAATATTAGAAAGTTAAAGTGGTTGTTTGTTAGGTCAGTTAGAGCAATATATTCTTTCCTTCCTAATACCTGCAGTCAATGTCTCAGATAAAGATAAGTCTATAACTCTAGCTACATATAGGTATAGATATATACATATAGAGGGCTGAAGCGATAGCACAGTGGGTAGGGCATTTGCCTTGTATGCGGCCAACATGGCCGACCCGAGTTCGATTCCTCTGCCCCTCTCGGAGAGCCTGGCAAGCTACCCGTGACATATTTGATATGCCAAATGCAGTAACAAGTTTCACAATGTTGAGCAAATCAATGAACAATGGGAGGACAGTGACAGTGATACAATTTATAGATGCTTTGTTTTGACTTTGTTATTTTGGAAGAACAGAGAGCAGTGGGTAGGAAAACATGGGAATTAGGATGAAGCAGCATGTGGAAGGCGTGAAAGAGAGTGTCTTCTGATACCAGTTCCCTGGGGAAAAATAAAGTTCTCTTAATATTTCAGATGAGGGGCTGAAGTGATAGCACAGTTGGTAGGGCGTTTGCCTTGCGTGCGGCCAACCCGGGTTCAATCCCCAGCATCCCGTATGGTTCTCTGAGCACCACTAGGAGTAATTCCTGAGTGCATGAGCCAGGAGTAAGCCCTGTGCATCGCCAGGTGTGACCCAAAAAGGAAGGAAAAAAAAAAGTTTCAGATGAAAGATTTATTGTCTTGAATATACTAGTGTTTATATATGTATATATCTATAAGTAGCTAGAGTTATAGACTTATCTTTATACCAGAGACTATAAAAACCAGCTCCCGGAAGCGCGCGGCCGCATTCCCCGCCACACGACGTTGTACTATCTCATTGTTACTTTGGACAACCTGACAAGCTACCAAATGTAACCTGCCCATACAGCAGCGTCTGGCAAACTCCCCGTGGCGTACCCAATATGCCAAATACCAGTAATAATGATGGGTCTCATTCTCCTAACCCTGAAAGAGCCTTGAATATGGCACTTTTTTAAAATGTCAGGGTTAGGACGAAGGAGCCGTTACTGGTGCCTGCTCGAGGCAATCGACGAACAGGATGATTGTGATCGTGATACTAGAGTTTCTCTATGAATTTTATGGTTCATAAAGTTAAATTTTAACTCCGATAATATATTAGATACATAAAGTTCCTAGCCTGTTATCATTTTCAGAAATTGCAATCTCCTGGTTGCCAATCCAAGCTAGTTTCATTTTTTAATAGTATCAGTCTGCAGTATACTCAGAAGATTCATTCTAACAGAGTAGTTGCTACTAAGAGGAATTCTAAGCATCATCAATTTATAAGCCTTTTTTTAAATTTGAGTCACTGTCAGATACAACAGTCGAGAGAGACAAGGGCCAGGAGGATCGCTTCACAGTTTGGAAGCCTGCCTCATGTGCTGGGGGTGAAGGCAGTTAGGATAGAGAAGGGACCATTAAGCCTATGATGGTTGAAGGGATCGCTTCCAGTGGGAGATGTGTGCTAAATGTAGACTAGGGACTAAAGATGATGGCCTCGCAATATCTGTATTGCAAACCAGGATGCCCAAAGTCAAGAGCAAAAGGGATGGTGCCTGCCACCGAGGCAGGGGTAGTAGGAGGGATACTGGGAATATCACCCCCTGCCTTTATGTTAAGAGATTTATAAGAATGGGAGGGTCGGATGGGATGATGGTGGAAAGTGAGCATTGGTGGAGGGATGGGTGTTCAATTATTGTATGACTGAAAATCATAAAAACTTTGTAACTGTTTCACAGTGATTCAGTTAAAAAAGAAAAACTGGGGTTTCGTTGTTAACAGTGACCAGTAAAAAAAATGTATATATCTGCTGTAGATGAGATCTCGTTAAAACCCATGCCACTCACCTATGCTGTCTGCCTTTTTTTACCTTCTTAACCTGTATTACAACTAGTGTCTCTTATCATACTGTTACCACACTATCTCTATGAGTCACTGAACCCTCCTTTTTTGACACTAAGATACTATACCAACCATTGATAATCCCCTTATATTACTTGTTCCCCCAAGTACTGAAATTTCCTACTACTCTCTTCATTGTTAACAAAACTATTGGATTATCTCCCTTCAAGTAGTCTGTAAACATTTGTTACAACTGCTCATTTCTGTGTGAATAATCCAGCTTTAATTCCTTTTCCATCCAACCTAAAATTCTGACAACTATTCCCATATATCAGAAGGTTGATTTTATTGTTTTTCTCTGGCCTTTCTCATTTAATCGCTGACCAAGTCTTGATTCATCATTTACCCTTCCTGTGCATAGGAGCCTCAGATTCAACATTATTAGACTAAGCTAGAACAACCTCCTAAAGTCAACTTTCTCAAGATTTTCTTACAAGATAAAAACACGTATATAAAAACCGACAAAACATAAAGTCTTAAGATCTGATGCAACTTTTTAATTTTGTGAGCACATCTGACAGTGCTCAGGGGACCATACATAGAGCTGGGAATCAAACTGGTAACTGCCCCATGTATGCTGTAGCCCCCATTCTCTGTCTCCAGCAGTGCAGCATACTACTGTTTCCGTAAACATTGAGTGCTGCTGATCTCCCTTGGAACTGCATACCCAACAGATTCCATTGCTTCTGGTTTCTTTGCAGCCTATCCAAGATCTGTAGTTTGGAGATCGCTGACTAAACTTATCAAGGAAACTCATTTTCCTGATTTGTATATATTTTTTAAGTAGTTCTTTATAGATCAGGTACTGTATCTTGTATGAATACTTAAAACATTTCTCTCACTAAATTCTAAATACCATCTCCATGAAACCTTCCTTAATCACAGTGTTATGTGTAATTGCTACAGCAGGTGTTCTTTTAGATTATAGTTTGAGAGAAAATATAATGGTTTGTTTTCCTCACACTGTCGTATGCTCTGGTGGTGCCTAAATGAAGTAATAGGGGTGAAGTAAGTCGTGTGCCGCTTAATTTTCAGTCTGCCAATTTACAAGAACAAAGGTAAAGATTTGATCTAAACATCTTCAAGCGCTTTGGGGCGACACGCAGTGGTGCTCAGGCTTACTTTTGACGCTCCATTTAGGAATCACTATTGGCAGTGCTCAGGGAACCATTTGGAATGCCAGGAACCCAACCAGGTCAGGGGTGAGCTAGGCAAATGCCTTCCTGACTCTACTTTTGCTCCACCCCCTGATTTAAACATCTCCAAACTTTGGCATTCTGGTTTCCCAATAGTCACTGCTATTTTGTTTCTTCTAAACATACTCAGCAAAATCTATTAGATGAAGTTTTCCAAAATTAGACTGGTTGATGGGAGTGGTCATTATCAATTTCACAATTTCCTAAGAGTATATATATCGCCAGTATAGATATGTAGTGCTAAATGCTTGTTTGGAAGTCTCTTTCAAGTGCCTTGTAGAAAGTTAACACAAGGACCAGGGATAGCTCACCTGCTGAATTTATGCTGTATGTGCGTTTGCATGGTCTGAAGCACTGCTGACCCTGCCATTTGCAAATGACATGCCAGTAGTGCACTCTTACTATCCACTGTTAAAATCTTTGATATTTCTGAATTTTGCATTTTATATGAACATGTAGCTAGACAAAATGGGGAAGAAAAAGTGTCTAAGTATTAACAGTATTCAAACTTTGTCTAATAAGACGTGTTTGAGTTGCTGATGTAATAAAATTTACTTATGTCTGAAATTTACACATGTACCCAAATAAAACTCGCTCGAGCGTTTTTTATTAACTTTTTTCATTTGTGAAATGGTTGTTTTGTTTTCTGATCTCTTAAATTTCGCCGAACAAGTCCCCAACCCTCACAAAACTTATTTTGAGCCCAGTGGGCGACCCAGGGAGCTTCCTCAAAGGTGTTGGAGATTTATTTTCATCTGTACCTTTCCTCCTGCCAGTTTCTCTGTGAACTGGAACCAAGGCCAGGCTTTCTTAATCATCTTTCAAGGTCCCTTTCCAATGCCAAATCCTCCACGAAGTCTTCACAGACAGCAGGAAGTCATCTCTTTGCTTTCTCCTTTCTTCTCCCGCTCAACGTCAAAACTCTCCAAGGTTTCTAGTAGGTGTTCTTGAACCCGAGTTCGATTCCTCCGCCCCTCTCAGAGAGCCTGGCAAGTTACCCATGATGTATTTGATATGCCAGACACAGTAACAACAAGCCTCATGATGGAGACGTTACTGGGCCTGCTCAAGCATATCAATGAACAACGGGAGGACAGTGACAGTTCTTGAACCGTCCCATAGATGTTTAATGTTTCCTTGCTAAATTGTCACCTAGCTCAGGGGCTGGAGTGATAGCACAGCGGGTAGGGCGTTTGCCTTGCACGCGGCCGACCCGGGTTTGATTCCCAGCATCCCATGTGGTCCCCTGAGCGCTGCCAGGAATGATTCCTGAATGCAGAGCCTGGAGTGACCCAAAAAGCAATAACAACAAAAAGAATCAGCATAGGGCTTCCTGTGCACGCCCTCCACCCCTCCCTCCCCAAAACACAAACTGTCACCTAGCTTGACCTCAGGGGACCAGACTAGCCCACAGTGGTAGCTCGGAAAACGCACGCAGTCCTGAACCCTGGTTGGAGGCTGAGCCCCTTTTCCACCTCGGGCCCCGAAAACAACACCACGCACGTTCCAGCTTCAGGTTCCTGGGCTCTGGACGTAAAAGCCCAGGAGAGAGCCGGTGCCCGGCTGGAAGAGCCAGCTCGCTCCCGACCCCCAAGCGCCTAGCAACCACCGCGCGGGCTTCCTGCCCCGCTGGGCCAGCTCCGCGATCCTCTTCCGGTGCGGAGGTTGCCACGCCCCTCCCCGTATCTCCTCCAAGATGGCGAGCGGCGGCAGCGGAGGGGTGTCGGTCCCTGCGCTCTGGGGGGAAGTGAACCGGTACGGCCAGAACGGCGACTTCACGCGCGCCCTCAAGACCGTCAATAAGAGTAAGTGCCAGCCGAGGCCCGGGCCGGGGGGGCTGGTGGGAGGACGGCCGCCTCCTTCCGGCGCGCGCGACCCCCGCGGAGGTCGAGACGCCGGGCGCGGAGACCCCGGGCCGGCCGAGTCCTGGGGCCCGAACGCGGCCGGCTGCGGGCGGGCGGGCGGGCGGCCTCGGCCGCTCTAGCTCGGGGCCGGCCCGGGACTGGAGAGCCACGTGTACTGCCCCCTGACCCCGCGCCCCGCGAGGGCGGGATTTAAAGAGACAGCGGCCGCGGCACCGCTGGCCTGACCCAGCGCTCCGTGCCACCGCGTCTGCCGTCTTACTGTTTTCCTCGGGGGTTCGCGATCGGGGGGTGGGGTGGGGGTAGGGGGGTGGGCTCCAGGCCGTGTGGCTAAGGGACCTCGCTGGCTCTGGAACGCCGGCGGGGTGAGGAGTGGGGGCGGGGAGGGAACCTGCCGGGACACGTAATTTCCAGGCTGCGCTGACGACGCGGAATGCTGGATAGGTTATAGGTTGGGGGGCGAGGCAGGGCAGCTGGGTGGGCTCGGAGGTCCTTGATGGAAGCTCCCCGCGGCTGCGGAAAACAGAAAAATGTGCGGAGGGTTGACGTTCGGAACAAAGGAGGGAAAACTGGGCCCGTTTCTCTATTTCTGCAGTTGGCTTTAGGCTTTTCAGTCAACTGTCTTTTTGTTTTGTTTTGTTTTGTTTTTTGGGTCACACCCGGCGATGCGCAGGGGTTACTCCTGGCTCTGCATTCAGGAATCACTCCTGGCGGTGCTCAGGGGACCATATGCGATGCTGGGGATCGAAGCCGGGTCGGCCGCGTGCAAGGCAAACGCCCTACCCCTTGTGCTATCGCTCCACCCCCTGAGTCAACTGCCTTGAGTGTGCGATTCACTCGTGTTGTTGTTTTTTTTTCCTCTAAATAACCTTTACGATGTGACTATGCTGGGACCCTGTCTCTGTCCTGCTGCTGCTTTGCGAAAGCTGCGGCCGTGGTTTGCTCGGTTTGGAAATAGAATCACCGGAACTGATGTGGACTGCTTGGAGCAGTCAGTAGTGGCCTGCACGGAATAGACACGGTGCGCAGGGGTTAAGGCGCCTGCCCTACCGACTTAGGGCCGACAAGGTTAGATTACCCAGCACCACATGGTCCCACCCCCGTTTCCCCCCAGAACATTCTTGGGTGCAGCCCTGGAGACCCCCCAGCAGAAGATCCACCCCGCCCCCCTTCCAGAGCACCGGCTGGAAACCTGCCAGCCCCTTTCTCATAAAAGAATTTTTCATGACCTATTGGTGAGTATGGTTGCAGGCAGGAAGATCGGAAGGCCAGGGAAGCCTGCAACAAATGTAAACAGAAGTGATTGTGCCCTCATGCACTGTACCTGATTGGAGACAGAGAACTAGCTACGAATTAGAATGATTTGAATCCTGAATGTGTTTTGAATTAGCTCTGGCTATGCCTGCGACCAGTGTTACTTAGTAGCAGTAGTATTTGGCAGGAATCACCCAATTAAAGCACTAGAGCTGTCTGTTCTCCACTCTGTAGTTTATTAACTGGTAGAAACTCCTTTGATTCTACAAAATTTAATTCCTCCGGTTCTCCAGAAGGGCCTATGGCCCTGCTCATTTTGAGGCTAAACAGCTGTTTCTCGTGGGAAAATGGCCTCCTGCTCTTTCCCGGTACTTTTTGATTATTTTGGGGGGGGTGCACTTAAATGTTTTTGTCAGCAAGTTAAATTTGTATTATTTACATCCTGTGTTTTTTCTTCCAGAGTATTTTCATTTAATTTTCTTGATAACTTTGTACATTGATAATGCTTTTGTTTTATTTTAATTTTAATTTTTTTTTTTGCTTTTTGGGTCACACCCGGTGATGCACAGGGGTTACTCCTGGCTCAGCACTCAGGAGTTTCTCCTGGCAGTGCTCAGGGGACCATATGGGATGCTGGGAATCAAACCCGGATTGGCCGCGTGCAAGGCAAACGCCCTACCCACTGTGCTATCACTCCAGCCCCTAGATAATGCTTTTATACTCATTTTTCAGGTCAGAAAACCAGTTTAGGTTTAGAGCAGTACTAGCTCAAAGCCTGGAGTACTTCATTTAATCCACAGCACCACCTGGTCCCGCAACATTATGGGAAGGACCCCAAGCACCTTGCTGAGCACTGTCACCAAAACAAACAGAAACAAAACCTGATTTGGCAGTTGAATGATTTATCCAAGATCTCAAGGCATTTGGCAAGAAACTTGTACTCCAAATCTAAGATATTTGCTTTCCAAATTGTACATGAGTTTTTTCCCTTTCCTATGAAATTATGAAATGTATACAATGTAGCATGTATGTCAAGATTTAAAAGCCAAATAAAACTGCTTCTTTATATTTCTGTACTTTTTTGCGTGTGTCTTGGGAATCAGTTTCATTGAAAATCGAATTTGTTGCATTCATAACACTATTGTCACTTAAGTTAAAAGTGATTTTAAAATATTTGATAGTCATTTCTGCTGCAGTAAAATTGGAAATGTAGCTTACCAAGGTAGGTGTTGGAATAAGTCTTAAAAAATGTAAAGGGGCCATGGATTTTAAAATTACATTTTTATACTTGTTCTTTAGTACTGCAGATCAACAAAGATGATGTAACTGCCCTCCACTGTAAAGTGGTTTGCCTTATTCAAAATGGAAGTTTCAAGGAAGCCTTGAATGTCATCAATACTCACACCAAAGTGTTAGCCAAGTAAGTGACTCAATTAATTGTGCAGTTATTAGAAATCTTCACCATAGCTATGGACTTTCTATGGGATTTTACCCTTGCTCTGTAATGAAATTTTTTTTTGATGATGTTCTTTCTTCCTTTTTTCCCAAATCCGGATGTAGCAATAACTTTGGTTCTTTTTTGCCATAATTATCCTTTTCGTTACTTTTCTCTCCCTTTGAACAATTACGACATTTAAAGGTGACGGGACATAAGGGACATGGGTCATAAATGTAACAACAATTCTTGATACACAGAAGGAAAAAAACTCAGAAGTTTATTTTTTAAAAAAAAAAGGGACAAGACAGATCATGCAGGTTAGGATGCAGAAGTATTTAAGCATTAGATGTCTCCAGTATAGTATGGCAGGGCTTGCTTTCTTGTGGAGTTTTTTTCATTTGGGGGTTGTTTTGTTTGGTGAGAAGGGATATCTAGTTTCTGAGAATACTGCGGACAAAACAGTCTTATTGATAGAGGAAATAAGTTTGGTGACTTGGCTAGGAGATCAAACCAGCCACAACATTCATAAGCTAAAAGAGGTGAGGAGACTACAAGGGAAAAGTCTGAAACTAGCCGAGTTTAGCGTAAGAAGTTTAAAGGAAAGTCTTGTTTTTATAGTAAAACAATGCAGGATGATGCAGCATGTTTCCCAGGCAGATCCAGCTAGCTATGGTCATTGATAATGTGGCGATACTGACAGATCTTTAACATAGACTAAAGAGCTTCATTTTGAAAGATGTCATCTGTGCTATGGAGAAGTCAGTGCTTGGCTTCCCTAGAGGCTAGAGATTTGAGTTGAAGCCAGTGTTCATTTACCACTTAAAAATCATGGGTCCCCAAGAATTACGTTAAATCAGCTCTGTAGGCCTTATACAAGCAGCAAGGCCCAGATCACAGAACGTCTATTTACAACATGCTTCAATGAATATTTTAGGCTCACTGTGAAGACTTACAGAGAAAACAAAGATTCTTGACTCTTTCTTTTTTACCCCTTTCTCTCTTTTTTTTAATGTTTATATAGATTCATATAAAATTAACCTTTATCATGTGCAAAATTTCTTATTATAAGTAATACTTAATACCACACTCAAATACACATCAAAAGTTTACCCCACTGGAAGGCCTAAAGCTGGGCTGGTTACTGTACACAAATACTTTCTATCCATTTTCAAAACGTTTAGTTATTTTCTGCAGTAAAAGACATCCAAAGAATATTCAAATCAAAAATTCTCAATTTTGATAATAAGACCTATCAATAATGATTTATTGTCCCAGTCTAACACATAGAAGCAGTGAGTAGAATCCTGGGTGAAACCAGGAGCCACTACTCTACAGTTACAAAGTTTCAACTATCCAAGATCATTAAGTTTTTATAGAGTCTGCTTTATAAATTTTGCGCTTATAGTTGATAACACTATCATGCACTTAAATTTTTAATAAGGTATCTTGTATTACATGCTGTTAAAAAAGAATAATTTCAAAGCAAACTGAGTACCTACAGGGAGAGAGGGTAAAAGTTTTATAATTATAAATAAATGGGATATCAGATGATTTAAAGTCCCTTTTGATTTATTTGTGAGCCTGTACCCTGCAGTGCTCAGGCCTTACACCTGGCTCTGTGCTCATGGATCCGTCCTTGCGCAGCTCTGGGTACCATATGGGATGTTGGGGATCAAACTTAGGGCAAGCATCTTACCCACTGTACTCTTGTTCCAGCCCCATGGCTCATATTTTAGAGCACCTACTTTGCATGTGTGAGACCGTAAGTTTCGCTTTTGCTTTTTTTTTTTTTGCGGGGGGTGGGGGGAGGGGTGTCGTGTCATACCTGGCACTACACCAGGGATACTCCTGGCTCTGCACTCAGGAATTACTCCTGGTGGTGCTCTGGGGACCATATGGGATGCTGAGAATCGAACCCGGGTCGACCACGTGCAAGGCAAACACCCTACCCGCTCTGCTATTGTTCCAGTCCCGAGACCCTAAGTTTTAATTGTTATACGGCATGCTTTCACCATCCCACCCTCCACTCCACTAGTGTATCTCCCAGAATAACAACCCCCCCTGCCCAAAAAAAAACAAATTCAAAATTGACCTTGAATTTTATACCTGACCACCCCAGGAGATCTGGAGTCATATAAGGAGTTTCATGTTTTCATGACTGCTAACAAAATAACCCATTTCTGCAGCCCATGGATCAAGGAGAAATTTCAGCTTTTCACGTCTTTATTGAAGGAATGCTTTATAAGCTAGTGATTCCTTCTGCTAGGTCTGGACTATCAGTTGAAAACTTTCTGGAAAGGATTCGTCATTCTAGACAATATGAAGAACATTCATGATTCATAGGAGTCAAAGTTTAAACATTATCAATGGTTTGGATGAAGTTGATTCCAACCCACTTGGACGAATGAATTCGAGGGGTTTAAGACTTCACTAAATGAAGTAAGCACAAATGTGGTGGAAATGACAAGAGAACTAGAACTAGAAGCAAAATGAAACAATGTGACTGAAATGCTGCAACCTCATGATAAAACTTGAATGAATGAGTTTTAGTTTCTGTGGATGAGCAAAGAGAGTGGTTTCTTGAGATGGCAGTGTACTGGCAAAGATGCTGTGAATATTGTTGAAATGAGAGTAAAGGATTTAGAATATTAACTTGGTTGATAAAGCCAGGCTTAAGATGATTGACTACAGTTTTTGTTTACTTTTTTGTTTTTTTATTTTTTTTATTTACTTATTTTTGGGTTTTGGGTCACACCTGGCTCTGCACTTAAGAATTACTCCTGGCGGTTCTCAGGGGACCATATGGGATGCTGGGAATCAAACCCGGGTTGGCCGCGTGCAAGGCAAATGCCCTACCCGCTGTATTATTGCTCCAGCCCCTGACTCCAGTTTTTAAAGCTCTATGGGTAAAAGCTATCAAATAGCACCAGATGGTACAGAGAAATCTTTTGTTTCTTTGTTGCATTTTTTTTTGAGGGGGCCACACCCAGTGATGCTCAGGAGTTATTGCTGGCGGTGTTCAGGGACACCATATGGGATGGCCGGGATCAAACCAGGTGACCCGCATGCAAGGCACACATGCTACCTGCTATACTATCACTCCAACCCTCAGAGAAATCTTTAGTCAAAGTCATTTGATAGTCAGCTCCGTGGTGTAGAGCCAGCAGTTCATTATTTGGTGCCTTTCATGCTCAGGGACCACCTGGTCACTTCGGGGAAGAGAGGGGCATGCTGTGGTGGGGATCAGATTCAGGGCCTCACACACACTGGGCATCTGCTCTACCCTAGATCTATCTCCCTGGTCCCTTATTGTCTTATAAGAAATGACTAACGCCGCTCACTCTAGTCAGCAACCATCAGCGTGAAAGCAAGGCTCTCAGCTAGCGTGACGATCAGAACTCGTTTAAGGCTCAGATGATGGTCAGCATTTTTTAATAAAAGTATTTTCAGTTATGGTTTGCAGCACTTTGGTTTTTAAAAACATACTGCCTTTGCATACTTAGTCAGCTGTAGAATAAACACTGGGAAATCAAAACTTGTGTGACTATAGCATTTGCTTTATTAATGTTGATTGGTGCTGACCCTGTAATTTCTCTGAAATATGCCTGTGCATCAAATATTTAGAGCAGCATATCACTCTGTGGCTTAGAGTGGGTGCTCTGCAGTGCAAGCTAATACTCAGATACTGTTTTTGTTTGTTCGTTTCCTTTTTCAGTAACTCACTTTCCTTTGAGAAGGCCTATTGTGAGTATAGGCTGAACAGAATTGAGAATGCCTTGAAGACCATAGAGAGTGCCAGCCAGCAGACAGACAAACTAAAGGAGCTTTATGGACAAGTGGTAATTATTGCTTTAAATACAGTCGTCCCAAGTGAGCATGACTCTCTACATGACTCTCCACAAAACTCAACACTAAACCAGTTCTTGAGGTTTGAAACTAGTCCCTCTCTGCGTATCTTCCCACAGAATTTTATATAAATGTTTTATGAACAAATTGTTTCCTCAGACTATTAGAAAAGTTTAAAACACTAAGCAATCTTTTGGATTTTGGACCTTTTCGTTGGAAAGGTGAAGGCCAATGAACTTCACTTTTAAAATTGTGGGCCAGAGATATAGCTTAGGATTTAGGGCATATGACTTGACTACAGCCAACCCCGGTTCCATTCCTAGCACCACATGGTCCTAGAGCATCACCAGGGTGGCCCAGGTAATCCCTGGCACTACAGGGCCCCAGCAGCACCACATCTGCACGCCTTCCATGGAACTAACTACCAGCCTGGTTGGCCAAGAATCACCAGGAGAGCCCTCACCCCCAAAACATATTGTATTTATTTCTAGTTTCTAATTATTATTTTGTTTAATGTACGTCATGATGGATAAGAATTAGAATTTTTTTTCAAAGAATTTGAATTTAATTAAATCTCTGGAAATACCTTATTGAAAAGGATTTTAAGACATTTTTAAACTTAATGTAAAGTAAGACTTTTAATGATAAGAGAATAGAAATGTTTTGTTAGAACTATTAAAACTTTTGGGCCAGGGAGATAATGTAGCGAGGAGGGTACTTGCTTTACACACAGCTAACCCTGGGTCAATCATTTGGTCCCCCTAGCACAGCCAGGAGTAACTGTTAAAAGATTTGTTTAAGTTGGTTTAAGTGGGGGAAAATGCATTGGCTATATTGTACATCATAATAATATGTATGTGCTAGCAATACTGAGAAGTTGAAGAAAGACTTGAGCAGGTTTACATATTGTGGTTTTATAGAGAACTTTAAAGGTAAGAAAAGTGGATTGAGGTTAAATTCCAGCAATTTGAAACTGATGAAGGGCACCAGTCTCTGTAAATTGAACCAGGATATGAGTTTTTACTGGCCTTTGAGAACAACTTAAATGAAGTAGGCAGGAATGGCATATGCTTTGTAACTGCCTTATATAAGGTCACGTATTTCTGGGAAAAATTAAATGAAGATTAAATAGTGTACTGTTAGAAATATTAAGTTCATTTGTTATTCTTTTTAATTTTCTCGGATTTCAGTGATCATTTAGTGTTGTGGGAACTTTTTTTGGTTAAAGCTCAGATATAGGGACCAAAGAGATTGTTCAAAGATTAAGGCAATTGCCTATTGTGCAGTGTTGTGGCAACATTGTGGATTCTGGTACCAGAGTGGTTTGAATCTTGGCACCACATATGGTCTCCCACGCACTGCTGAGTGTGGCCTTTGACACTACTGGGTGTGACACACAAAGTCAAATCTAGGTGATAGGTTAAGATAGGTTTTCTTAACCCACTAAGATACTCATCTGATCTCAGTAAAAGGTACATAAAGTGACATTTCTAACTTATGTGCTTGCAGATCTATAGTGTAACAACTCTTAATTTTTGAAATTAATAGTAACATAAGAACTAATGGAAATTACAGAGAGATCTATATGATGGCCCATGTCATGCTGAATTAAGACTTCCTACCTTATAGTCTCTGAAGATTTATATGGTATTTGTCTTCTCTGTTTTTTTTTATTTGCTAAATAGTTATACCGATTAGAGCGCTATGATGAATGCTTAGCTGTGTACAGAGATCTTGTTCGAAACTCCCAAGATGATTATGATGAGGAGAGAAAAACAAACCTTTCAGCTGTTGTTGCAGCTCAAAGCAATTGGGAAAAAGTGGTTCCAGTGAGTATCCCCTTGTACACTGTATTGAATGAAATAAAACTTCTTTTTAGTGTTTAACTGACACTCTGTTCTGTGACAGGAGAACTTGGGTCTCCAAGAAGGGACGCATGAACTATGCTACAATACGGCATGTGCACTCATAGGACAAGGCCAGCTGAACCAGGCGATGAAAATCCTACAAAAAGCTGAAGGTTGGAAGTTTACAAAGTTCTGTGTAAATGTAGCATGCCTATAATATTGCAAAGTATTTCCATAAATTGAATTTGACTTTGGTATTTTTTAAATGGAAGTTATTGAAGCTGCAGAAAGTTCTTATTTATCTAGCCTTTTGTGTTTTTATCGGGTCTCCTTTCTGTCTAATAACTGAGTCAAAGTAAATATTTGTCCTTTTTATTATTATTATTATTATTATTATTTTAGTTCTTGAGTGTTTGGGCCATACTGGCAGTGCTCCTGGCTTTGTGCTCCGAGGTCACTCTTGGCTGTGTTCAGGGGACCATCTGCAATGCCAGGTATCAAATCCAGGTCAGGGCGTGTGAGGCAAGTGCCTTTCCTGCTGTGGTCCATCTCTCCAGCCCAGCTTGTCCTCTTCAACCACTTAAATTTAAGGAATACTTAAATTTGAGGAATAGGTGTTTGAACAAGTTACTAAGGAAAGTATAAATTGAATTAATGTACATCAAGTATTTATAGTAGTGTATCGCATGATAGAAGTATTGGATAAATAACAGCTATCATTTTGTTATTAAACAAGTACTGAAATAATACCATGGTGTGCCTATGTCTGCATGCATATATGGGCAAACACTGCACTAAAGCAGCATCATCTAAGAGCATATAACTCTATTTAGTATATTTTCATATTTAATAGTTAAATGACTTAGGGCTGAAAAATTTTATTGAAGAATGTTCTCTGGTGTTCGACACTCTTTTGTGTACTTTCCCTGAGTACTATAAAAGTAAGCAGTGAGAGAGAAAAGAAAAGGTAAAACAGGATGTATTTACATGCTAAATTTTGAAAGGTAAAATCAACATAAGGTTAGAGCCTCATGAGAAGACAGATAAAAGAATTTTATAGTTGTATATTTTATCTCCAGGTCAAAAGAAAAGAATGATAGTTATTTCTTTATCATACCCAGGATTAAGCTCAGAATTATTACAGCAATTGCAGTGGGTGATTTGGTGTCTTGCAGCAGGTTAAAAGTTGTATACCAGGGCCAGAGAGATAGTACAGTGGGTAGGGTGCTTGCCTTGTACACACCTTACCTGAGTTTATTCCCTGGAACCCCATATGATTTCCAAGCCCTGCCAGACGTGATCCTTATGGACAGAGCCAAGAGTCGCCCTTGAACACCACCCAAAAATTAATAAAAATAAAAGTTGGATACTCTTTGATCCAAGAATTTCATTTCTAGAAATTTTAGGGGAATGATGAAATATATCTCTGTGAATGAGTGGTTACCAGAGTCTTGTTCATCAGAAAGAAAATTTTATAAATATTTTTTCTTCCCTACTAAAGAATTGACTAAGTTTACTACCACAGATTTCCGTGCATTAAAAATTAAATATAGTATTTATGAATAAACAGCCGTACTGGTACATATAAAAAATTATATTGTAGACATACATTTACATTAAAGGGGAAAAGGGAGATTTTGAAGTGTAGTGTATCACATTTTTTAGTATAATTGTTTATGTACATTAACAGAAATAACTAAAATGCTAAATAGTGGTAATACTTGGATGGTGAGATTATTGTCTATTTTTGGACCATACCAACAGAGCTGAGGGGCTTCTGCCACCTCAGTGCACTGGAGATCCTGCAGTACCAGGGCTCTAGGATGGAAAGCATGAGCCTCACACCTGGGCACCATCTCCTGACCCCCTCATTATTCCAGTCTTTATGTCTTTCGTAATTCCATCAACAAGTACAACATTTATTGTTTAGTTTTGAGGTCTGTGTGCCATGAGTACTGCTGGCACTGATGCAAGTTGCTACCTTGGTGGTGCATGGAAGGTTGGGGGTGGATCTTGAGATGGCAGCCATGGAACTGTGTCTGCAGCTCGGAAGCATGTGCCCCACCCAGCCTTGCGAGCCGTCTCTCAGCCCGCTCTGTAGTTATTAGGTTTTAATTTAATTTGGGGACCTCAACCGGCAATGCTAGAGGCTAACTTAGCTATTAGGGTCCCTCCTCACAGTGCCCAGAGGACTATGCGGTGCTGGAGATCAATCCCAGGCCTCCTATACGCGAAGTGTGCTTAGCCCTTTGAGCTCTCTGACCACTTGCTCCTTAATTTCGTTTTGATTCTGTTGATGCGTAGCTTTGGGTGGCAGTTTTCTGGGCCTATTCTGTTTCTTCTTAGGGATCATTCCTGGTGATGCTCTGGGAACTATATGTGACGCCACACCAAGGCATTTATTACTCCTGTAATAATCTTCTGGGCCCAACTTTTGAAGAGATTACAAATGATAGGAAAATGCAAAGAAAATTATCAGTGATAAATTTTATGTAATATATTTAATAGTAAAAATAAATTTTAAATTTGTTTGCCTTGAAAGTTTATTCCCAGAACTTTAATTTTCCCTTTTTAGAATGGTGATAGAAATGGGAGTTAACCAGTAAGGCTAATTTCAAAATCATTTTTTTCCCTATAGATCTTTGTCGCCGTTCATTATCAGAAGACTCTGTAAGTATTCCAGTATTGTTAAACTCAAATGTTCATTAATGCAAGCTTGTTGGAGTCTTCATTGTACTATATATGGATTGGGAGGACTAGTTACAAATTAAGTGGGAATTGCAACAGAAACCTCAGGCATTTGATAAATATCTCTTAGGATGATAAATAGTTTAAAAGTTTACATAGCTTTTAAGCATTTTAATTTATATAGATACATATTTATTGTTTTAGATGCTAGTCTAAGAGTCAGTTTTTTCTTCTCTGTTTCTTTTTTGGACCACACCGATAGAGTTCAGGAATCACTCCTAAACAGGAAAGTATGTGATCACACCTGGGCTTGGCTCCTATTAGTCACTCCAACTCCTAGATTCTGTTTTTCATGTATGAGTCTAGTTAAAGGAATCCCATGCCTTTTTTATTTTGGGGCCTTCTTGTGGGGGGAGTGGGCTGTTTGGGTTACACTAGTGGTGCTTAGGACTTTCTCCTATGTGCTCAGAGGTCACTCCTGGTGGGCACAGGGGACCATATGAGATGCCAGTGATAAAACCTGGGTCAGCCATATGCAAGGCAAATTTTATCCTACCCACTGTACTATCTCTGACTATCCATATGTGTTTTTTCACAAAATCCATCATTCATATTTTCTAGCTTTTTTTTTTCCTTAATATAATAATATCTTGGGTTGGAGCGATAGCGCAGCGGTTAGGGCGTTTGCCTTGCACGTGGCCGACCTGGCTGACCCAGGTTCAGTTCCTCCACCTGTCTCGGAGAGCCCAGCAAGCTACCGAGAGTATCTCGCCCTCAAGGCAAAACCTGGCAAGCTACCCGTGACGTATTCAATATGCCAAACACAGTAACAAGTATCACAATGGAGACATTACTGGGCCCGCTCAAGTAAATTGATGAACAACGAGAGGACAGTGACAGTGATAATAATATCTAATTGGTGGTTATAAAGTAGTTTCAGTACAGGGCCAGAGAAATAGTATAGAGGGTAAGGCACTTGCCTTGGAAGCGACCAACCAGGTTCGATCTCTGGCATTCCGTGTGATTCCCCAGGCACTGCCAGGAGTAACCCCTGAACATTTCCTGAACAACTCCCACCCCCCACTCCGCCAAAAATGCAGTTTCATTACAGATGCCTTATATGGTAACTTTCCTTATAGATGTTCAGGATTATACCATCCTTAAAGATGTAAAAAAAATTCTTATAGACGTTAATTTACTTAACAATCTGTTTTCTGGCTCTTGCCTATTAGTCATTTTCTTTAGAACTCACTTTTATCAAATTTTTCTGAGTCTGGCAGGCTACCGAGAGTATTTCGCCCACACAGCAAAGCCTGGCAGGCTACCCATGATGTATTCGATATGCCAAACACAGTAACAACAGGTCTCATAATGGAGACGTTACTGGCCCCGCTGGAGCAAATCAGTGAATAACAGGAGAACATTGCAGCAGTGTATTGTTTTATTATTAAACACAACTGATTGGTCAGCATTCACCTACCAGATAAGAAGGGTCCCTGTGTCTAAGGAGAGAGTAGCTTCTTAGCCTCAAGCATTCCTGGTAGTTAACTGTTAGCCCTGCAGAACAAATAGAAAATGTGGATTAATCTTGATGGTCGGTTAAAACTGCAGCTTTATTTAAAAACTTACTTTAGTCCACATATTTCAATTAGAGAACCACTTCCAACTTGAAGTTCTTTGTAAAACTATAATGAATTATAACTTTATAATTTTTTAACTTTATAATTTCTGGGTTATAATAAATTATGGTATTTGTGCTTCAAGCATTTTTAAATTGAGGGGAGAAAATTATGTCTACAAAATTAAAGGTATCTTAAAATGTTGAACCTGTAAGGTTGTGGCTTTTGTTGTTGTTTCCGTTTTGGACTTTGGAGAATAATGATAATTGAGTGAACAGTATTCCTGAACTTCTTGCCACATTCTTCCAGAATCTGTTTTGCTAGTCTCACTTGTTATTTTTGTGGAATTCTTAAAGAGGAAATTTTGTGATATTCCTTGAAGAGGAAAAAATTCTTGAAAATTATTTCTTAAACGATTAGCTGTCATTTTAACATTTGTATCACTTGGTAAATATAGTTATCAAGTAAAGATTGATTCAGTATGCAGAAAGACTTTTCTTGTTATAGGATGGGACTGAAGATGACCCGCAGGCAGAACTTGCCATCATTCACGGGCAGATGGCCTACATTTTGCAGCTTCAGGGTCGCACTGAGGAGGCTTTGCAACTGTACAATCAGATAATAAAGCTGAAGTAAGTGATTCATTAGCATGAATGTCTTTCATGGAAGCTGAGATTTGTTTTTAAACGTTTTTCATTTTGGTTCTTGTTATTCACAGGCCAACTGATGTAGGATTGCTGGCTGTGATTGCAAATAACATCATTACCATTAACAAGGTATGAACATCCTCGGCTTTTATGTATACACTTATACATTTTTTTACTGAAAGCTGATTATCCCATCTTTGTTTTAGGACAAAAGTTCATACTTCATGATAGTTCAATTTTAGTAAAATCACATTGGGGAGTGTTACTAAACTTAAATAATGATCATTTTACTAAGTATAGTCAAGTAGTACAGCTTTCTATAGTTTCAGACCCTGGACTTAAAAATCTTCCCTTTTCTAAATTATTTGTTATAGGAAAAAACTTATTTGAATCTTTCAATTTTTTTGAATAAAACTGTTTTGTATCTGTGTATCTGTTGGGAGTGCTTATTCACACATCTGTATTAGTTTCTATTTAGTTGTTATTTTTTTAAAGTTCTTATTTAGCCATGATTTACAATATTGTTAAATGTCTTACAAAGATGTGTCACTGGTGGCTTTTGAGAGAAAATATCAGTCACACCTTTAAAGTGATTTTTTTCATTATTTTTAATCATACCTAGCATCTGCAAGCCCTGGGTTTAATTCCTGGCACTTCCTTAGTACCTCTGGGTATGGCTTTGTTGCCTCCCTCCCGTGCCAAGCACTCAGAGGCTCCATGGTACCATTTATTTACAGGTGAATTTTTAACTTTGCTAGAATTCTGTATGTAGAATGGTGCAAGTTTGTCCTTCTCGGGATGCGTTGTGGGGGATGGACACCAGGGCCATGCCAGGCAGGGGTCATGATGGTGTTTACATATTTTTCGTTGTGTTTGTTGAGGGCCTCACACTGGAGTTGCTGTGTTTACATATACCTGGCACTGGGCATATTTAGGTGGAACCGGAGATCAAATTCAAACTCACTGCCTCACGGCAGGTGCTGCTAACCACTGAGTCATTCCTAGGCCCCGTTTTTTAATTCTTTTTGGTTGTTGGGTGGGGACAGAGAGACGGGGGGATGGATAAGAGAGAGAGAGAAGAGAGGGAGAAAAAAAATCACTCCTAGCAGGACTGGGCATAATACAGTGCTCAGGATCAAACCTGGATCAGACACACGCAAGGCAAAGCCACTGTGCTGCTTTACCCACTGTATTCTCTCCAGCCCTATTTCTAAATTTTAAACATTTACTTGCATAATGGTGGTATTTCAAAGAGAAATGAGTTAATGTTCCTCATCTGTTGTCTAAATCCTAAAGGGCGTAACTTATAGAAATTGGTTGATATTTTAGTAGTCCTAATTTCTACTGTAAGATTTTGTTTGCCCCTGTATACTTTTCTTCAACAATCAAAACAAGAATTGGTAATGAAAAGTTAAACGTTCTGTTTTTCTTCCCTGTGAAATGTTTCAATTATAAAACTTATGCTGAAAGTATGAAGCAAATACACAACGCTAACAGGAGTGGGCCCAGAGGTGCTGTTTATTTCTTTTGAACTGAGCACTGAAAACAGTTTATGTGCATTTTAGGATAGGCACCTCAACCTGATCCATGTATTATCTTCTAAGTTCTGTTATTTTAACGTAAGATAAATAAATGAGGAATGTAGAAGAATGAAAGTCTTGGAAATTGGTTTTAACAGGTAGATGGACTTTTTTTCCTCAGGACCAAAATGTCTTTGACTCAAAGAAGAAGGTGAAATTAACAAATGCAGAAGGAGTAGAGTACAAGCTTTCCAAGAAACAGCTACAGGCTATAGAATTTAACAAAGCCTTACTTGCTATGTATACAAACCAGGTAAGTGACAGACACACATCTGGTTCCGTGGCTAAATCTTAGAAGGGTGGTATATGAGAAGTAATAGGTGCATCATTCTAGCAGTTTATGTGGTGGTGGTAGTGGGAGTTACTGGCTTTATTTACTTTTTTTTTTTCCTTTATGGGTCACATCCAGCAGTGCTCAGGGGTTACCTGTGACTCTGCATTCAGAAATCACTTCTGGAGGTGCTTGGGGGACCATATGGGATGCCTGGGTTTGAACCTGAGTTGGCTATGTGCGAGGCAAACACCTTACCCACTGTACTGTTGTTTCGACCCCAGTGTAGGTCTTTTGTTCATATTTGATCTTAAATGTATATATTCTTCAGAATGCCATGTAGTATAGATTTTGTAAAGTACATAATTTGCCTTGCAAAGGGATGTCAGAGGTGGATTTTAAGAGAAAGAAAACAGTTACACCATTAAAGTGATTTTTTTCTTCATAACTTTTGCATCTCTATTAAAATAAGAATTCAGCGTAGATTCCTTTGGTTATCATAGATTTCATTGTTCAGGTCCAGAGCAATGGCTTAGCTCCCCAGAGTGCGTGCTTTGCGTTTGAGAGGTCTGGTTCCATCCCTTGCACAGCTGGGAGTGAACCCTCAGCACCACTGGATGTGGCCCAAAAACCAAAGTAAAAGACCCAGCTTTCATTTAAGTAATATCAGGTTATAAATGGGAAGGAGGTGTCAGTCTAATTTGTTACACATTAATTCTAAATCCTTTTCAAATTCTTGGAACAGATTTTCGGTGAAAGAGTGAAAGACAGGGATAATTTTTAGAACTGAGCAAAATTATTAAATATTTCAGCAAGAAATGCCTGCAAATTTTGTTATTTCAATTCAAATGATACTTGATTTTTTTTTTATTAAGTTAATGGAGTTTATCCAAATATTTTAAGTCTCCTTTTCTAACTGCTTTTGGAACTCATATCTTAAATTTTGTTAATAAAAATAGTTTTCTGGGGCTGGAGCAATCATATAGCAGATAGTGCATTTGCCTTGCACACAATCAACCCCGGTTTGATCCCCAGCGTCCTATGTGGTCCCCGAGCACTGCCTGAGCATTATTAGGTGTGGTCCAAAAACCACACCTAACCACACCCCAAAAAAGAATTTTTGTTTCAGTAGAAATCATTTTCTTACGGGAAAAAATGAGAATGGATGCTCGAAACTTCTTTTATCACAAGCAGTTCTTCACTAACTTTTATTTCAGCTGATAGCCTTTCCTTCTTCCGCTTTTAGTTTTGGGTCATTCATTTAGTGTTTAATTTCATTAATCAGCCGGGGGGTTTTCTTTTTTTTTTTTCAGGCGGATCAGTGCCGAAAAATATCTGGCAGTTTACAGTCCCAAAGCCCTGAGCACCTCCTGCCTGTTTTAATCCAAGCTGCCCAGCTCTGCCGTGAAAAGCAGCATGCAAAAGCAATAGAGCTGCTACAGGTAAGGGAATTACTTGAATTTTTAATGAGTTGTTTTGTCAGGTAATTGGAGCCTTGTTTCATTTTTAATTATAATGTACAAGCTTGTGCGTTTTATTGGAAAACTAATAGGTAATATGCCAAGTAAGCACTTGGCATACTGCTTTATTCTTAGGCTAAAGCTTTGTTTTTAATATAAATTTGCATTAAGACACATTTGCTATTTGTTTTAGACGTATGATATCAGAGAATATGATTATTCCTCTTTTTAATAATGTATTCTCCAGTGAGCCCCAATCCCAATCCTCACACAACTGCAGAGATGCTGACTGACCGACCAGGCTTTTATCAGTGTAAACCAGCGATTAGATACTGTTTGATTTTCTTGAAGGGGGGCTACACTGGAAAGTTGAACAGGGGGCTATTAAGATAGATTATCCTGGGAAGCATAGTTGCCTTGAAGGACCCTCTGTAATTAGATACTATTTCTCTGATTCTTTTAAAATAAAAAAAAATTGAGGTAGTGATTCTCTATTAGTGACTTCTTGGAGATGACATTAATTCGTTGAACTTTATGTAAATATTAACTACATTATTAACTTTCAGAACACAATTTTAAAGCAAAGCACTGAATAAAATTTTACCTAAATTGAAATGTAGATTTTAAAGCACAAGTTTTGTTGTTTTAAAACTAGATTTAAATTCTTATGTGTTTGGGGAAAGAAAGTGGGATGTGTACAATTAGGTGTATAAATTAAACATGGTTTTTCCCCAAAAAAAATTTTTTTAGGAATTTTCAGATCAGCACCCAGAAAATGCTGCTGAAATTAAGCTAACCATGGCACAGCTGAAAATTTCCCAAGGTATCATTATTAATGATTTTATCCTGATTAAAATATCTGTGGTTTAATATATTTTTGCGTAATGGTAATTACTGTTTAAAATATGAAGCTAGACTTTAATATAGAGTACCAGTAGACTTTGTGTAAGTCAGCCTTTTCTTAGCTTATTCCCAAGGTGTTAGAATGATTCTCAGTCTGTACCTTGGGAATCAGAAGCAAAATATTTCACTGTTCTAAAGATGACATATAAATTTCCTGGTATGTCATATCATATGTACAAATGCTTTTATACTGGGCCTGTGCGATAGTATAGCAGGTAGAGCCCTTTCCTTGCAGATGGCCAATCTAGTTTCCATCTCCAGTACCACATACAGTCACCAGCAGTCACCTCTGATGGTGTTCAGGGGGCCACATGCAGTGCTTAGGAATTGAACTTGCAATGGCCTCGTGGAAGGCCGACAACGATGTTTTGGTCCTCAGGAATATTTCTTTGTTTGCTTTGTTTTGGAGCACACCCAGCTGTGCTTCGGGCTTATTCCTGGCTTTGTGCTTGGGGATAACTCCTGGTGGGCTTGGGGATCATATGAGGTGCCAGTGATTGAATGCAGGCTAACTGCATTTAAAGCAAGCGCCCTACCTGCTGAACTATTGCTCCAGCCCCAGGAATATGATTTTTTGTAGGGCTCAATTTCCTTATCTGTGAAATGAATAGAGTACATTACTCTCTAGAACCTAAAGCTTAAGTATTATGAAGAATGTTGCAAAATATGACTTTAATTTTCTGTATTTTTCATAATATGCTTTCTTTAATATGCCAATTTTACTTGTACTCCCTTAAGGTAATATTTCCAAAGCATGTCTAATACTAAGAAGCATAGAAGAGTTAAAGCATAAACCAGGCATGGTAAGCTTGTTTTTTTTTTTTTTTTTTTTTTTTTTAAGGGTAGTAGTGAGTAGGGGGAATTGGTGGAGAGAAGTGGACACTGGTGAAGGGAACAGTATTGAAACACTGTATGCCTGAAACCCAATCATGAGTAACTTTGTAATTTCTGGTGACTAAAATTTTATTTTTCAAATTCTTTTTTTAAATCAGACAAGTAAAGAATGTCCTTACCTGTGAAATGAATATGTTTGATGTTTCTTTGTGTTCACTTTAATTTCCATTTCATTCTTGCTATAATGTCAGAGTAGTAGTTAATAACAGCTTTCTGGTGTGCTTTTGGTTTCATTTTTGCAGTGCATCGTTTGTGTTCAGTCAGATTTACTAGGCACTGTTCAGGCCTTACATTACCATTGAAAGTCAGCGTAACCTAAAACCTGTATAGGAAACTTCTTAGGCTAAATTATTTTAGGTTAAGACTTGGGTATGATTTCATTGAGTTAAAATGTAGTAGTGACCATTAAATTTAGGTTTCAGTTTATTATTCTAACATCACAGGTTTAGATTACTAATAAAACCTTAAAGCCCAGGCAGGAATTATTAATCAAATCTGCTGCTTAAAGTTAAAATGTTTTTATTATTAATATTTGACCTGTTACCTTTAAGAAAATATACCCATTTTATCTAGAGTGTTGCATTTATTGGCATAAAAGTTGTTCGCATAGTCCATGTACTATTTCGACATGAGTGGACCCTCCCATTCCTGCCACTGGTTCCTTGTTTCACTTCCTTCTCGCCCTCCCTCCTGCTCCCCCATTACCTTCATCAGAGGTCTGACCAGATTCATTGATATTTCTTAAAGATTCCACTTTTTCTTGTGTTCCCTTCTTTTCCGTTGTTCCTCTCCTCACTCCTCTGTAGCCATTTGGCCTCTTTCCCTCCAATATACTTACCAGGCAAGGTTTTCATTGGCTTCATGAAAGTTATATGCAGCATAACTTGGGAATTTGGCTGCAGTAGTGTGTATCTTCACTGATCATGCACTTGAAATCCTTTATGCATAAACTGTTTGCCAAGCACTTACTGTTAACTTATGTTTTTGCCTTGTGTGGACTGGTAACAAAAGAATTGGCCTAGCTTTGGAGAAAGATGTATTTTATACCTTTGTATTTGGAAAACCCTGTTGTTTATGTTGTTTTAAACTACTTAATGATAGTCTCAAAACATTATTTTGTGAATATTTTCACTTTCAAAAAATTATTGTGGGAGGAGAGGGAATTTTATTCACTAATTTTTATACTTTTCGCTGGGTAGGTATCTGCGTTAGTAACCATGTACAGCCACGAGGAAGATATTGATAGTGCCATTGAAGTCTTCACACAAGCTATCCAGTGGTATCAAAACCATCAGGTAAGTAAGTGGAGTTAAAAGTTTGGAGGGTGGTTTTATATTAAAACAAAAGGCTGCAGTAGTGAAATCAGAATGAAAGTGTACCAGATCCAAATAAAGTTATTAGGAAAAATAGCTGCAATATTTCTTAAAATAGCTGAACATATTTTTAAAGCTCTTCTTTTCGCATGTTTGTGTCATCTCAAGTAGTAAGAATTTGATAGTATAAGCGCGTATAAGAGAGTTCATCCTTACTTTCTAGAGAGCCCATGAATGGTAGTAATTGGTAGTAATATATGGAATAGTTATATATCACATATTCATCTGGCCGGAAAACTTTTCTCTTTTCAGTATGGTCTCTGCATAGCTAGTATATCCAGCTGTATTGTTAGTCGGGCTGGGTGGCCACACCTGGCAGTACTCCAAAGGCATTTTTGCCTTCCCTGCTCAGAGTGTCGTGCTATAGATTATTTGTGATCCTGGGGGTCCAACTGATGGCAGCCACACGTCAGACAAGCTCCTTAACCTCCTCAACAGTCTCTCTGACCCAATATCCAACTTTTAAACATACATTCAACAGATGGCATTTATACTGCTGTTAACATTAGTAATGGAGAGATAGTGGAAAGTGCTGTATTAATACTACTTGATTACTGTGTCGTATCTTTAAGATTTTGGGGAATATTTCCAGTTGTAGACAATCTTAATAAAGTTCCAGAATGAATAATCGGTACATCTGCTAGTTTGTGTACCATCATGTTTATGTATGTGATTTTGTTTTTGGTATTTAATATATACCATTAAACACAACAGGAGGAATTTGAAGGCTTAGTGTATTAAAATCTTATAATAAAACATTGACTTCTTAGATATTGAAATTGAATTTTTTTTTCTCTTTACTAAACATGTAGCCCAAATCTCCTGCTCATTTGTCTTTGATAAGAGAAGCTGCAAACTTCAAACTCAAATATGGGCGGAAGAAGGAGGCCATTAGTGATCTTGAACAGCTGTGGAAGTGAGTTCTGAAAGGTGGAGAGGTAGAAACCCCAATTTGACTGCTTTTAATATGAAGGAGTCTGCTAGATTAATACTACTTTCTCAAGTTTTATAAAATTTAATAGTTTTTTTTATTTCTTGTAGACAAAATCCAAAAGATATTCACACGTTGGCACAGCTTATCTCTGCTTACTCACTTGTGGATCCTGAGAAAGCAAAAGCGTATCCTTCTGGTTGCTCTGGACAGTTCCCAAGTGGCACAGTAGGTCTCTTCCGGTACTTATACTAACCAGGGTCTTTTCTGTTGTGATCGTCAGCAAAACACATTATTACAACGAGTAAAAAGCAAGAGGGTTTTAGTGACCAGTGCAGCTGAAAAACTAGTGATAGATACAGCTTGGGGAACAATTAGATCAGGAAGCAGAAATGAAGTTTGGACGTGACGGATATTCATTCCTGTAGCTTGACATTCAGGAGGAAAAAAGGAAACAGAAGTCAAGAGAGTCCTAATTGAGTGATTATACATGATTCTGAAATGTTCTTTTTATTGAACTGTCTTGGGTCACATGTCTATCTCAGTCTCAAAATGAATCATTTTGGTTTTTCTGTTTGTTATGTTTTTTGTTTTGGGACCACACCCAGCGATTGGTCAGGGGTTTCTCCTGACTCTGCTCTCAGGAATCACTGTTATTTCTTAGGGGATCATACGGGATGTGGAGAGGATGGAACCCGGGTCAGCCTTGGTCAAGGCAAATACCCTATTCCCAGTACTGGCTCTCAGGCCCCCTAAAGTAAATTGTATGAGAAAACTCAGTATCTTTATTACTGATTGACTGAGCTTGCCATATGTGTCTCTATTCCCATAAGGTCATGTTTACTGCCAAACTTCGGTGGGCTGGTAGATAATGCCAGGTGTCAAGTCAGAACCTTTGCAGTGAGCAGTTTCTCTGTCTTGTAAGCTTGGAACCTGTTTTTGAACTGATTTTTATTTACCACCTTGAAATACACCACTGAATTAAGGAATGGGTGATTGGGTTGACCCTTTTATAAGTTGTCCTTTCAGAGTATATAATGAAGATATGATTGATTTGCTGCTTACGTAAGAGTGAAAGCACTTTATTTTTGTCAAAGGATTTCCAGAAGTGTTTGTCTATTTGGCAGATATATATTATGTTCCTAAACTCACATTCCATCCCAGTCTTAGTAAACATTTGCCGTCATCAGACAGTATGTCTCTGAAAGTAGATGTTGAGGCGCTTGAAAATTCTCCTGGTGCTACATATATTCGGAAGAAGGGTGGAAAAGTTGCCGGAGATAGTCAACCAAAGGAGCAAGGGTAATATTTTCATTGTTAATATACACTAATGCTGGTTTTAAATTATATATAGAAAGAAACATTCACATGAAAGTGTTGTGAATAGAGCCTAAGAACTCTTGTTTCTTTTTCCCATCTCTCTGGCTATAACCAGCAAAATCTTTTTTTTTTTTCTCTTTTCCGCTTAATGCTCATTTCACGCCTTCTCCCAGACTCAAAATTAAGCCCTGGTTATAAAAATGCTGGCAGAGTTTAATTTCTTGTTCTCTAGATTTTCCAAATATCAGGTAATTTGTTGCAATCTTATAGATTTTCATACTCATACAAATTTTTTACTCGCAGGTGACCACTTCCTGCGAGTATTAACAATGCCTGTTTTTGGAAAGCATTTATCACCCCTCTTCTGAACTGCCTTTCAAAAACTGGAGCATATTAATTGTTAGCATATGAAGTATGGTTAAATTTTTTTTTTTATTGGAATCCCATCTTTTGAATTTTGTCCCCTTGGGTGAAGGCAGGCATGGAACTCCGGCTCTGTCTCCTCAGTATGGTTAAATTTTTAACGTAATCTAATATGCTGGCCATTGGCCATTGTCATGTCTTAATACCTATATAGTAATGTACCTAATTCACTAGTGAGCTAAATATTTTACATCATTATGATGATGATGATGATGATGATGATGATGATGATGATGATGGTGGTGGTTTTTCTTTTTTCTTTTTTTTTTTGTAGGCAGGGAGAGTTGAAGAAGAAAAAGAAGAAAAAGAAAGGTAAGATTTCCCTCCCCACCTCCATCCCTTTTTCATTTAACCCATATGGAAATCTCTGGATATAAACACACTTGTATCTTTGAGTTCTGACTTGTGTCTCACCTACATAACATTTTAATCTTTATGCTATAAAGAGTGCCACTCTGGAGTTTGCTAATTCACAGTGTAGTGCTAGTAATGTTGCTCCTTTAGTGTGACTAAACAAAGTATGATAGTGATGATTTTTAACATACCAACATACCAACCTGACTTCATCTGTGAAACAATATGAAATTCTGCAGCTTGTTACACTAAATGAGGTACTTACATATTAAACTTAGCACAATACACGATAGTAAACTTTTATTATATCTTAGGGTGGATTTTTGAGCTGTTAGACCTTTAGATTTCTGCCAACTTGTTTAAGAAAATTTGTTCTTTTCAGAAGTATAAAGAAAGTTTAGCTCTAAGTAGAAGTTCTCAAACTTACTTGACCTATAGACCCCCTTTCAGGGAAAAAAATTTTACTCACCGGCCCTCTGTAAATGTTCCTTTTTTATTTTGGGGGTTGTTTTGGGGACTATACTCAGCAATGCTTAGGGGTCACTCTGGGCTGTGCTCTCAGGAATTACTCCTGGCAGTGCTTGGAGTACCATAGGGGATGCCAGGATTGAACCCAGGTTGGCCTCTTGCAAGGCAAGTGCCTTACCTGCTCTACTATCTATCTGGCCCTGTAAACATACCTTTTCAAACCCAGGTCAACTGCATGCAGGGCACGCACCCTACCTGCTGTACTTCTGCTCCAGGCCCCATAAGTTTACCTCTTAAAGAGAGTAAAGTATCAGGGCTAGAGCGATAGCACAGCGGGTAGGGTGTTTGCCTTGCATGCGGCCAACCCAGGTTCTATTTCCAGCATCCCATATGGTCCCTCAAGCACTTCCAGAAGTAATTCCTGAGTGCATGAGCCAGGAGTAACCCCTGTGCATCACTAGGTTTGACCCAAAAAGCAAAAAAAATAAAAGAGAGTAAAGTATCCCCCAGTTGCACCCAAGGCCACCTGCCACCACCCTCCATTGTTCAACACCCTGCCCCAAAGTCTGTTTGATCCAGTGGTTTGTGTCTTTTTTTCTGCTGTACACAAATTGAACATCAGAATTAATAGATGATTGTTGGAAACAGTGTCACAGGGTTTCATTTTGTCCACAGACTGTTGCTTTGCATTTCTCGGATCTTTTTTATTAATTTAAGGCAATAGAATTCATTATCCAGCCCTGAACCATTAAGGTGGAATAGCATACTTGGCTTAACTAGGGGAACATTAACCCTGGAACCACCTACCTGCTCCCGACTTTGAAAAGGCATTTAGCATTTGTATTATGTGTTAGTGGTACTACAAAGGAACAGTTTATAGCTTTCGGGGCAGTACCCTCGTGCATGTATTCATGTGTGCGAGAGAGAGAGAGAGAGAGAGAGAGAGAGAGAGAGAGAGAGAGAGAGAGAGAGAGAGAGAGAGAAAATGTGTAGTTTCTGGATAAGCTTTTGCTTAAGGGGGTTGGGGGGAGGCTGATTTTTAAGTTTCATTAGGAAGTGGGGGTTGTTAGGCCACACCCAGCAGATCTCAGGGGCAACCCCCTGCTCACTAAGTCTTTGGAGATTGTTCCTGGTGGTGCTCCAGGGACTATGCGATGCTGGGAATCAAACCCAGGACTCCAGCATGCAAAGTGTGTGTTCCAGCTCTTTGAGCATTTCCAGTAGCCTCCAGATAGCAGTGGGGGCAAGGGAGGAGACAATCAGTGGTGCTCAGAGCTTTCTTCTGGCTCTGCACTCAGGGACCGTTCTCAGTAGTGCTCAGGGGACCACAATGTAGTAGCAAGAATCAAACCCAGATCAGCCACATGCAAGATAAGCACCCTACATGCTGTACTATCTCTCCAGCTCCCAGATAAACAACTTTTAAAATTTGTAAGTTATACCTGTTCATTCTAGAAAAAAAAAAGAAAGAAATGTGAAACAGCATAGCACTGCACTGTAGCACTGTCCTCCTGTTGTTCATCAGTTTGCTCGAGTGGGCACTTAATGAAGTCTCTGTTGTGAGACTTGTTGTTACTGTTTTTGGCATATCGAATATGCCACAGGGAGTTTGCCAGGCTCTGCCGTGTGGGCGGGATACTCTCGGTAGCTTTCCGGGCTCTCTGAAAGGGATGGAAGAATCAAACCCAGGTTGGCCGCATGCAAGGCAAACGCCTTACCTGCTGTGCTATCACTCCAGCCTGTGAAGTAGCATAAAGAATAGAAAATTCCCTGTCTCAAATTCATGAGGTCAAAGATTTAGCTATACAGAAATATATATGTATATGTTGATCAGTTAAGCGGCCGCACAATATCTTATCATCTCATTCCTACTTTGGACAAACTGGCAGGCTACCGAATGTAACCTACCCACACGGCAGAGTCTGGCAAACTCCCCGTGGTATACCCAATATGCCAAATACCAGTAAAAATGATGGGTCTCATTCTCCTAACCCTGAAAGAGCCTTGAATATGGCACTTTTAAAAAAATCTCAGGGCTAGGACGAAGGAGACATTACTGGGGCCTGCTCGAGGCAATCGATGAACAACAGGATGGTCGTGATCGTGATCAGTAAATTTTTACAAGGCGTATATGGCTCATCGGGATAATTTGTTTCAATCTGTTTTAGACTATACACCCTAGATACTTTTTCAAGTTTGGGTGGAGGGCAACCCAGTGGTGCTCAAGGATTACTCCTGGATATGCATTCAGGTATCACTCCTGCTGAAACAGATGTACTCACTGTACTATACCTCCAGCCCCCCTTCAAGTTTTTAACTGTATACTTTACTTTTTAGTATGGTTTTATAGTGCTGGTATACTGATTTGTTAAAAAATATCACAATATGATTACAAGTATAAATTTTGATTGGTACAGCCAAGTAGTACAAAGTCTATACTTGTATACATTTCTCTCAGTATTTAAGTGTTTCCACCATCTTACCAGTCCTGGGTATTAACATTTCTAATTGTTCATTTGATGGAATTTTTCCCCTTTTGGGGGGGCTGGGTTTCCACCCAAGTCCCAGTGAATTCTCCCGATGATCATCTGTCCAACCTAATACTTCAGTGCAGGGGTCTGAGGATGTGCTGCTCAGAGGCCTCCAGTGTGTGTGGTACCAGGGATTGAATCAGGGTTGCCACATACATCCCTGTACTATCTCCACAGCCTCTCCCTTTGCATTTTGGGTTAATAGGCCCATAATTATGGTTTCTTCTGGCTTAGATTGCACCTAAGTGTATTTTTCTTAGTGCAGAAATACCTACTGGTTATCGCAGATTTATTCAGCATTAAGAATATTAATCCAGGGACTGAAGAGATAGTACAGGTGTTCAGGTACTTGCCTTGCTCTCTGCTGGCCCCAGTTCTGTTCGATCCTCAGCACTGCATATGGTCCCCCAAGCACTACCAGTATTGATCCCAAAGCACAGACAGGAGTAAGCACTAAACATTGCCAGATATGGCCCAAAATCTCAAAAGAAAACAAGAATCCACTCTACATAGAATGCAATTTAAAAAAAAAAAAATCTGCCTTTTACTAATGGAAATTTAGCTTTATCTATGACATTTCCTTTATTGCTTTCAAATTTTTGTGTCATATTTAGGAATAAATTTTTTCTTATTATAAAATACAGCATCCATTTTATTTATTTTTGGGTTTGGGGCCACACCCAGCAGTGTTTAAGGCTTATTCCTGGCTCTGTGCTCAGAGATGACTCTGGACGTTGCTCAGGGGACCATAAGTGGTGCCAGGGATTGAACCCAGGTCAACCTATGCAAGGCAAGCACCTTGCCCGCAGTACTCTCTCTCTAGCATGACATTTTAATATTATTTATTTGTGGACTTGTCTAAGTTACCTTTCAAGCATTATGCCGATTTCTTCGGAGGCAGAGGTGGGACGCCCCGTGGCTACCGTGGTTGAACCAGGGCCTTTCGTGTGCAAAGCACGTGCTTAACCACCTGCGCCACGTCCCCTGCAGATTTCTCATTTTGTTACCACTTGTCACACAGGAAAACTGCCTAAGAACTATGACCCCAAGGTAACACCAGATCCAGAAAGGTGGTTGCCAATGCGAGAACGTTCTTACTACCGAGGAAGGAAGAAGGGTAAAAAGAAGGATCAGATTGGAAAGGGGACGCAGGGAGCCACTGCAGGAGCTTCATCTGAACTGTAAGTCACGACTTCCCGGTAGCCGCCACTCCGCACGAAGGGCACTTCTCAGATTCACTCATGGTCCTTAGGAATCCTTTTTGGTTTTGTTTTGGGATCACACCTAGGGAGACTGAAGGGTTACTCCTGGTTCTGCACTCAGGAATCACCCCTAGTGGTGCTCGGGGAACCATATGGGAATCAAACCTGGGTTGGCCACATACAAGGCAAATGCCCCATTTGCTGTAGTATCACTCTGACCCCTTTAGGGATTATTTTAAAAATACATTTTCAGTGTGAGAATTAGTCAGAATGTCTTTGATAAATGTTTTGTAATAGCATTGTATAAAGGAGGGAGGAAATGTGATATTTTGGAGATCACATTGTAAATTTAGAGTTCCGGTCTCTTGTTTTTACATGATGAGATTATAGGTCTTATAAATTTTTTTTTTTATTTTCTAAGGTTTCTGAATCAGCATTTATGTTTATTACTTTCATTTCATTATAAACCAGTAAAATTTTTAGTGAAATGGAAAATAGGGAATTATAGGGAATTGGGGAACCTACCATAAAAGAAGAGAGGTGGAAAATGAACTTCACAAACAAGACTTTACAACCTTTTTTGGAGTATATGAATGACAGACATGTCCCATATCTGTTGATTTTAGGGATGCCAGTAAAACCGTGAGCAGCCCCCCCACCTCCCCGAGACCTGGCAATACAGCGGCGCCATCTGCATCTACAAGTAACATCATCCCCCCAAGACACCAGAAACCTGCAGGCGCTCCAGCAACAAAAAAGAAACAGCAGCAGAAAAAGAAGAAAGGTGGAAAAGGTGGTTGGTGATTAGAACATTCTTCTTGCAGGCTGTTTTTAAACTACTCAGTGACACTAGGAACATAATAAAGGTAACCCATCAAGAAGCACGGAGCTGCTCCTTCCTCTCATCTCCACATTTTCATTTGACTATTTTCTGTGTATCAAAAGAAAGAAAACATTTGGCCTATTTGTACCTAGCTTTGCACAGATCCCCCGGGATTCAAAATAATTGACCTTTATCCACCTTGGTATTTGGTGTGTCCTTTCTCTGTGTGCTGATCTTTTGTTTCATTGTTCCAGTTTTACAAGCAGTCATGTTAGCAAAGGTTTCCATGGACTTAAATAGAAACTACTACTCTTTTAACTAGAGTCTGAAGATAGTTGTTCTGTCAAGTCCCACTTGATAAAATTATGTTTTAGGAAGCATTAAGGAGACTCAAAATGAATCTTCGGAGCATTCCATTATCTGCTTAGAAATTATTATATGATAACAAGGGACCTTATTAATACACAGTATTCTTTATTTTGAGTGGTCATTTATGTTAGAAAAACTAAATGTTTCATTTTAGCCACAAATTTTCTCATGTGATACTAGAGTTTGAATTTTTACACATGTGCATTATATATGTATATATAAACCCATTGTTGTGCATGTGCACACACACAATTGAAGTCTCCTTTTATACCCACATCTGATCTATATCTTTTTCAAATTTATGAGAACATGCTAGAGAATCAAAGAATGCAAAATCTATCGATGTTGCAGATTGACTCTTAGACCCAGAGTTCTGAGAGTAGATTTAGGAAAGATTTGATGGCCCCTTTAAGAACAAGAACATTTACTTCCTATCAGAGAAAATTAATTTTAGATCATTCAGAAGCAGACAGTATTAAAACTTAACAAAGCTGTTGATTGATTGGGCCACACTCGGTGCTGCTCAGGTGTTACCCCTGGTTCTGCACTCAGGAATTACTCCTGGCAGTGTTCAGGGGAACCATATGGGTTGCTGAGAATCGAACCTGGGTCAGCCACATGCAAAGCAAGCACTCTACCCTCTGTGTTATCTCTCAACCCCTGACAGAGCTGTTTGGCCCCGTTAATAGATACTCATTCTAGTTAGGGGTTTTGGTAGGATCATTACCTTCCCAGAGGGATGAAGTATTGTGCAGTCCAGTCTGTGGTATCTGTGCCATCTGGTCTCTCCCTGCTAACTTGCCACCTTCCCACTGAACAGCATGTGACAGACATTACGAGGTCAGCCCTGTTAGTATTCACTGTCTGCTGCCCAAGATAGCATTGCGTTTAGAGTTGAGTATCTCCTTGTGATCCTATTACTTCATCCTTGTTAATAAAGTGCTGCTGTGTTTGACTCACTTTATCTACTGAAACTTCTTCAAAGTTTTAAAGATTCTCCCTCCTCCACACTAGTAAGAAACATGGTGCCACCTCTCTTTATCAGAATCAGAATATGCAGCTAAACAAGGATCCCTCTTAAAATCAAATAATTTATTACAGTGTCATACTGTCTGAGGTCTCAGAGTAACTTATTTATTCATACCCCATTACAGAAATAATTGTTAATGAATGTTAGGACTCCATTAGATTCTGTGACGAAGGATAATCAGATTTTCAAATAACAAAGCTACAGAATTTGGGTGAAAATTATCCTTCAGGCCCAGTGGTGACACAGATAGTTCTCTAGTCAGTATAGTTGCCATTCACTGTTATTACTGGTCTACTAAACAACAGAAACCCCAGTTCAAATAAAGTTGTGTTGTCAAATGAAGTATAAACTTTATATTAGCTTTATGGTAATTATTCCTTGTTCGGGACAGGTTTTTAATTGGTGTCATATAAACTATATTTGTGCTCCTACATTTATAAAAATCAGTATGACTACATATACCTGCTGTGGCACTTTTTGTTTGTTTGATTGATTTTGGGGACACATCCAATTGTCCTCAGGGCTTACTCCTACCTCTGTGCTCAAAGGTCATTCCTGGCGGTTCCCAGGATATCTAGCCAGGGGTCAACCACATGCAAGGCAAGCACCTTAACCTCTGCTCACTCTCCAGGCCCCACAGAAATGGGGAACTCAAATGTGGATAATCAAGTAACAGGCCAGATTTATTTGGTTTTAGGGCATACCCAGTGCTGCACAGGGCTTACTCCTGGCTCTGTGCTCAGAGGTCATTCCTGGTGTTTCTCAGAGAACCTATGTCATACTGGGATTCAGTATGACCTGCCCCTTGATAACCCAGTTCTCTGAACCTCACCCAGAGGGACTAGCCCTTTGGAGTTTTGAAAGAGGGTCAGCTGTTTGCACATTTACACCTTAACCTCAGTACTATCTCTCTGAACATCCTGTGGCATATTTTAAAATTAAATGAATCTGCGAGTGTGGATTGAAGGTGTCCAGGGATTGGCATTTTAAGGAGGGTCTTCTGGTTAAGAATTGTTTTAGCTGAGTTATCTCCTGATCATCTCAGCAGAGCCACAAAACTAAAGGGATTGAGAACGTAGTTTTAATTACATTGAAAATTCATATTGTTACTGTTATTTATAAACAAATTAAGAGTTTTTTAAACTATTGAGCAGAGTATTTCCATATCACTTGTACAACTGCAAATCTTAAAAACCGGTTGCGTTTGAGCCAAAGAAATACTACAGCAGGTAGAGTGAACACGGCTAACTTAAGTTCTGTCCCCAGCAACCCATGTGGACTCCTGAGCATCACAAGGTGTGGTCCTTGAGCACAGTCAGGGGTGGAACAAAAACAAACCCCAAAAAAGTTACAAAAGGGAGAGATAGCTTAACTGGCTGTGTCAAATACAAACTGCTGGTGACTTCGGGAGCTGATGTTCATTTGAAAGGTAGACCTCTTTGGAAAAGTATGTTGTGTTAAGAAAGTTTTGTTGGGTTGTGAAATTAGAGACTAGAAACTGGTTTAACAAAATTAAAAGAATCATCGGGGTACTTCTCAACTCCTTTAAAAACTGCCACACTTTGAAGACTCATGGTACCTAATGGGTGATGGCTGGAGACTACACTGATTACGGTTGGTTTGTGTGTGTGTGTGTGTGTGTGTGTGTGTGTGTGTGTTTTAATTTTTATTAGTGAAACACCATGAGGTACAGTTGTAGACTTACAAATTTTTGTGCTTGAGTTTCAGTTTAATTACGGTTTTGATGGCCTACCACATTGCTAGTAGATGACAGAACCACGAGACACAAAAATTACAAAAAAATAAAAATAAAACTTATGGCGAATTGTGAAGCCATAGGCGGTTCTCTATTTGTTTTCCTGAGAAAAACAACAGCCTCTCCTTCCACAGGGGACTGAGCTCAGGGCCACCCAATATACTTTGACTTGTGCCCGCAGGCGGGTGTCCCCACATGCATGCGCCTGCCGGCACCTTCCCTAAGTCCCTGGCCGGACCCCTTACAGCCCCTTACAGCGAGCTGCAAGCGGGGTTCCAAATCGTGCGCCTTGTTCACTTGCCCTCGGGGGTGGGGAGCGTTGGGAGGGCCCGGGATAACGGATTCAGCGAGACCGGGGGAGGCGGGATGGGAGGGACGGGGGTTGGGTTGGGGGTCGGGGCCAGCCCCGGGGACCACCGGGAGGCCGCCCCGCTGAGCCGCAGCGCCCGGGCGCGGGGAGGGCGGTGGCCGGCGCGCGCGGCGGGCGGTGACCGCGTGTGACCTGCGCGGCGCGGCGCGGCCCTACGTCCCCGCCCTGCGCCCCCCGCCCGGCCACACCTGCCGGACCCAAGGTCACGGCTCCAGCGCGCGGGCGCGCGGAGAGAGGAAAGGACGCCGGGCTGGTGGCGATGGAGAAGGGGAAACCGAAGAAGAAAGAGAAGGGAAGGGACTCGGATAAAGAGAAGAGCTCGGAGAGAGGGTCCAAGACCAAGGAGCCCGAGAAGGAGCGAAATGGCACCAAGGGGAAGGAGTTAGACAGGGACAGGAACGGGTCCAAGGGCAAGGAAGTGGGCGAGAAAGAGCGAAACGGGAAGGGGAAGGAGCCGCTGGAGAAAGAGAGAACCGCATCCAAGGAAAAGGAGCCGGAGAAGAGGAATGGAAGAGGGCGGGACTCGGAGAAGGAGAGACGCGTGAAGGACGGGGACAAGGAAAAGTCGGGAAGGTCCAAGGAGCCGGACAAGGACAGGAACGGGGCCAAGAGCAAGGAGCCCGAGGAGAAGAAGAAGGACTCGGAGAAGGAGAAAGTTAAAGAGAAGGAAAAAGGGAGAGACCGGGCCAAGGAGGACAAACACCGGGAGGAGAGGAAGAACCTAGAGAAGGAGCAGAGCAAGGGGCCGGAGGAGAAAGAAAAGGAGAACAAAACCGCTTTGACAAAGCCCATGCTGGATCTGCCGGTAAGGGACCTGCCCGCGACCCTGGCCCATCCCAGGCCATTGTGGGCCGCAGCATCATCTGTTGCGTCAGGACCCCGCCAGGACCGGGGAGTCGCCCTGGCGGGGACTTGGGTCTAGGAGACTATCTCGAACCTGCCCTTCGCCACCCGGGTCCCCGGTGCAGAAGGGACCTGCCCTTCGCGGCCACCCCCGCACACCCCCAATGCCACCCGGAGCCACCCCCACACCCAGGCCCTCCAGCGGGCTCCTTCCTGCTAGGTGCATAGGTGCAGGGCTCCAGAACGCGCCCCCAACGTGGGCTCGGGGCCATCTGGGTACTGTTTCCATAGGTTTCAGGTCAAAAGGGATGGATGGTCAGCACATTTTAACAGACCTCTCAGCCCCTGGGTACTGCAGTCACTGAAAGACCCTCTGTAGTACCCAGTGAGGCAGAGTGTTTCCAGGGGGTGCGATTAGAGAGTATTGGAAGCCGCCCGTCCCCCTTCTTTGAGTCGAGTTTCCATTTGACAAGACAGCAAAGCCGATGCATGGTAGTTATGGTTACTCAACATTGCCACCAGAGTACACTCAAAATGGTTATGATCATCAATGTTAAGAGTATGTCATCACAATTTAAAATGGGAGGTATGATGCTTGGATCAACCTAGTAGGCTCTGTTCAAGCAGTTCTTGGGCTCAGAATTGCTCCCTGGTGCTAATCCAGTTTGAATTATGTTTGGGACTTTGTTCTCTGGTAAATTCTAGACCACATAGATCCACATATAGTTAAAGGACTAACATTTGACGGTGGTGTTCAGCATCACATTTCATGCCTAAACCCTAGTTTTTTAACAACCCCAGCTTTCCTTAAGAGATGGAAAAACTGAGGAAATGTGTAACCTGAAAAGTAAGCAATGCGGAACGCATCAATGGCTGCAGAATTTCTACATTGGATAAGTCCAGAAACAATGATTTCGTTGAAAAGGAATAGGGAACTTTTTACTTAAAATATTTCCTGTGAGGCGAGCAGGTAAAATATATAGGGTATTTATTTATATAAATATATTTATATAAATATGTATCTATAAATATATAGACTAGGGTTTCATCCCTGGCACCGTGTATGTCCACAAAATCAGTCAATATTCTATAAATATGAGCACTTGTTGGGGTCCTACTGCTGCAGTAGTACAGTGGGGCAAGTTCTTGCATGCAGACCACCCAGATTGAGTCCCAGCATCTCATATGGTCCCCCCAAGTGCCTCCAAGAGTAATTCATGAGTGCAGAGCCAGAAGTAAACCTGACTACTGCCAGGTGTGGCCCCAAAACAAAACAAAAATGTGAGCAGTTGTTTGTAGAGAAGAAAATAAATTTAATTCTTGAGGCCAGCAGTACACTGCTTGCCTTACATGTGTTTCTCCCGCTGGGTTTCTCCTCAGCACTCCTATTCCCAAACCTTCACAGACTGCAAGATGCCATTATTTCAGATACCAATAAGAAAAAATTTTAATGTTGCCAGACAAAAATAGGACTTCGGGTTGATTGTAAATCCTCATCTAGAAATGCTAAACCCTGGAGAGAGGGGAAATAACCATCTTGGAATTGATTAAATGCGTGGTGGTTGCCCGAATGGAGTGTTGGTGGAAAGTATAAGGGGAACACAACAGCTTGCAAGTCTTTGGTTGCCACCACTAAGCGTGTAGTTTGCAACCAGCCTGTGAAATCTCCTTTGAGAATTGTCCCTCTTAATATTGCTCTCATCATGGCATCTTTATTTAGATGCAGATAGGAGAGGGGCTGGGGCGATAGCACAGCAAGTAGGGCATTTACCTTGCAAGAGGCCAACCTGGGTTCGATTCCTCCATCCTTCTCGGAGAGCCCGGCAAGCTACTGAGAGTATCCCACTCGCACAGCAGAGCCTAGCAAGCTCCCCGTGGCATATTCGCTATGCCAAAAACAGTAACAACAAGTCTCATAATGGAGACGTTACTGGTGCCTGCTCAATCTAATTGATGAACAATGGGAGGACAGTGCTACAGTGCAGATAGGAGAGAATTGGGAAGACAATTAGGAGCCATCAAGAACTCATACCAACCTGTCTTCTTTGTCATATCATTGTCATATCATATCTTTGTCAATCATTTGCCATAACAATTTCTAAGACTGGTTTCTTGGATGGGTATTTCTAAAATTTACACCCAGTCAAATTATTTCTTTGTTTTTGAACTTGGGTGCTATATTCAATAGTGCTCAGGTCTTATTTCTAGCCTGTGCTCAGGAAACAATCCTGAAAGTGCTCAAGAGACCATAGGCAGTGCCAATAATTGGGCTCATACCAAAAAAGTGTCCTACCCTCTGTATTATCTCTCTGGCCCCTAATAGGTTTTAATATGAGATTTAAAAATAGATGCTCATCTGTGATTAGAATTAGATTAACAATATATATCTCCTTAACGTTTTTGTTTAATCATGATATTTATGTTAACTTATTAACATAAGGGGGAAATTGCCCTTCCTTCAAATCTAGTAATCTCATGTCCCAATTGGTAAAAATGCAACAGACTAGTTTGAGAATTTGCCCTGCCCTCCCGTTGTTCATCGATTTGCTCGAGCGGGCCCAGTAATGTCTCCATTGTGAGACTTCTTGTTACTGTGTTTGGCATATTGAATACTCTTGGTAGCTTGCCAGGCTCTCCAAGAGGGGCGGAGGAATCGAACCCGGCTCGGCCGCCGGGCTGGCTGCATGCAAGGCAAACGCCCTACCGCTGTGCTATCACGCTACCGAGAGTATCTCACCCACACGGCAGAGCCTGGCAAGCTCCCCGTGACGTATTCGATATGCCAAACACGGTAACAACAAAGTCTCCAATGAAGACGTTACTGGGCCCACTCGAGCAAATCGATGAACAACGGGAGGGCCTTTACCTTACCTTTAGTTTGAGAATTTAGATTCTTTTTTTTTTTTTTTTTTTTTTTTTGCTTTTTGGGTCCCACCCAGCATTGCACAGGGGTTACTCCTGGCTCATGCACTAAGGAATTACTCCAAGCGGTGCTCGGGGGACCATATGGGATGCTGGGAATCGAACCTGGGTCTGCTGCGTGTAAGGCAAATGCCCAACCCGCTGTACTATTGCTCCATCCCTGAGAATTTAGATTCTAAAATGATGAGATGCACGTCAACATATAGATCATAGAGCCAGACAGTAATTCTGGTACAATCAATGAAAATGAGCCAAGAAAAGCAAAATGAAATTGGCATCTTCCATAAATCCTGATACACATATTTTTAAATATATGTTTATAAATTTATGTATAAATATATACATATATAATGTTTGTATGTATATAGAACATACATTTGTGAAGTTGAATTGGAAGGTAATGTATGATTAATTTCACCTAATGGATCATTATGAAGTCCAAATACATTGGCACAGCTTGTTTCAGACCTATTAAGTATTTGGTCAGGGTTGTGTTCTGGTTTACTGTTCCACAGTGTTACCATTAACTGCCTACCACTGTCTGCCAGGAGCAGGAGGCAGGTCTCGGTAGCATCAGTTCACTGATTTCTCTCATCTCGCAGGACAAAAATAAGCAGATTCTAGTGCTAGGACTGGACGGAGCAGGGAAGACCAGTCTTCTGCACTCTTTCGCTTTAAACAGAGTCCAGCACAGCATTGCCCCCACCGAAGGCTTCAATGCCGTGTGCATCAACACCGAAGACAGTCAGATGGAGTTCCTGGAGAGTAAGTCCTTTCCCTCACATGGAGAGAGAAACGGTTTTTGTTCTATGCCAGTCATGATGCTACCAAGCTTGGGAAACCTTGTGAAAAGTCCCACTGAGTCAGTTTTACCTGCACTTTAGAAATTGCAGATTGAGTTTTGGGGATTTCTTTTTGTTTCATTTTTTACAGGAGCTCCTCTCAACAATGCTAGGGAACCTGGGCCTCTCCCAAAATACTCTACCTGGGAGTTCAGGTCAACATTTTAGTGCTGAGCCCAGTGGTGCTCACCTCGGCAGTGCATGCTGTGTTGAACTCAGAGCTCTGGGAACACATGGCCATCTCTAGCTCTCCGAGGTATCTCTCCAGCCTTATAGGCAACCTTTGCCAGAGTTTCTCAACCAGGCTCCTTATGGCCTTCTTTGGGTCCCCAGGATATTCTAAGGGGGTCACAATGAAAATCATATAAGTAGAGGCGAGCACAGCATAAGACTAGGGGGTCAACTAGTTACTCCAACGTGCCACAAGGAAGGAAGCAAATTAGAAAAAAGGTGGAGAAACTCTGCTCTATCTACCATTACTCTTCATGTGATGACTTACCCAACCTTCAGTTATTGCTTGGTCTTCGTAGCCATTGGCTTTAATGGCCCCTCAAATCATTCTGAGTATGCCCACCCAACTCCTGTTTGTTTCTTCCAGGAGGTTTTAAATAATACTAAAATAACATTTATTTGGACGTTACCCATTGACTTCCCCTCCAAAAAAATAAAACTGAAGAAAAGTCTTGCTGCCTTACTTATTCATCCACCCTTCCTGTGTGTGGCAGGGAGTCGCACACGTGCCTGCTTTTGACTCACACGCTTTTTAATTTAACTTTATTTTTATAAAGTTGTTCACAATAATTCATTACATCTAACATTCAAACACCAATCCTTCCACCATGCACCTTCCCACCACCATAAGAGGAAAGTGTGTGAAGATTGTTATATTTCATCCTGGAGCCATTTAAGCCCTTGTATAGGAGATTACAAGTATGTATGTTAAACCCAAACAAATGTGTGCTACTTTTGGTACATCAGCCGGCAAGTGTGTGAGACGTCACTTGGCTGTGGCTGCGTGCTTCAGGAATTCTGAGATTTAAAATACGATTATAGAGCAGATTCAGTAATGGGTAAGACCTATGCCACTCTCTTCTTGGCTGTTGACGAGATTATATGGCACTGAAGGCACTTTGTAGGTGTGTCTGCCAAGCTCCTGAAAAACTTGGGAGCTGGGGGGAAGAGGCCCAGACCCACTGTGAGTGAGCTTGGAGATCTCAGTCACAGGTCGCACATACCTGGGTTTTTCTGCAGGTTCCCTCAAAGGTAAGGCTCATCTGAGACTGTGGAGAGCAGCCTTGAGCATGGCTGCGGTTGGGTTCTGGAAGGTTTCAGCTGCCTGGGTGCTGCTGGGGTAGGGAGGGAAACTCAACCCTCCCTCTCTGAGGTACCCTGGTGAAGACAGCCTCGCCTGGCATCAGGACGTTCTGTGTTGCTCTCTTCCAGGAGCTTTATTTTAGAGTCTCTGGGTCTTGGCCGTTGATGAGATTATATGGCGCTGGGGGTGGGGGTGGGGGTGGGGGTGGGGGTGGGGACAGATTGTGGGAGTAACTGTCAAGCTGCTGGAAAACTGGGGATCTGGGGGAAGAGGCCCAGTCCTACTCCAAGCGGGACTCACACACTTTTAACCATGACGCTCACCAGAGATTCCCGGTCAAGCCGTGGTGCTTTTACACACCCACTGAGTCTGCACTTCCTTCGCTGTGTTGCTGGCCTGGGTGCTTGCCAGGGAGGGAGTAGGGACCACATTCTCAGTCCAGGCACCGACGTTAGTGTTGTGGCAGACTGGAAAGAGTGCCGGAGCAGCTGACTGGAATAGAGGGGCTTTGCTGGCATGAGAACAACTTCAGTTGCGCAGGATGTCCACAGCATGGGCACCGCCGAGGGGAGTCTGCTGAGAGAAGTCACAGCTAATACATACTCGAGTCATTTTTCAGGAGATTCATACATTCATGACAGAGAACTATGAACACAAGCCACTGAGGAACATACAATGAACATACGTTGGCTGGACAGAAAACAGGCAAAACAGCACCATAGTTCTGTCCTGGTGTGGGAATGAAGAGCAAGGAGACTAGTAATGAAAACGGGTTCCTCTCTGCAGTCTCCACTGGCCAGTACTATCTGGTCAGGGGCCCAGGGTCCTTATCATTGCAAAGTTCTTTCTGCTACTCTTGGACTTGGGGGCGGGAATTGTTTGTCTTTTGAGACCACACCCAGCAATGCTCAGGGCTCACTCTTGGCTCCGCACTCAGGAATTACTCCTGGTGATGCTCAGCGGAATATATGGGATGCTGGGGATTGAACGTGGGTCAGCCATGAGCAAAGGAAGCACCATACCTGCTGTGTTATTGCTCCAGCCCCTGCAGAGCTGTTTTTAAGGTTCTGCTTTGACCCAGTCAGAGCCAATGGAACACAAGGAAGCAGCTTCTCCCAGAGAGAGGTTGTCACACACTCCGAATTCCCAGCCTCAGGCCAGTCTGCTTTAGCTCTCCCTCACCTCAGAAAGTCCTTCTAAATTTGAGGATGGAGTCGGGGAGAGAAGGGACAAATTTGCAAAAGGCTTTGACGATTCTGATGCTCGCTGAGGCTCCCGGCATTGCTCACACAGTGCTCACCAGCAGCTGTGCTTCCTGGCTATGGTGCTCACACATCTTTTTTTACTTTGCGCAAAAAAAGACAAAAACAACAACAAAAAACTCTTGGAGTAGCTTTTTACAGCAAAAAATTGAGGGAAATACAAATGTTTAATCATGTTTAGAGTAAATCGGTTAAAACCATATGGATTTTTTTAGATACTCCTATGTGGATGTATGGCTCTGTGCTTGGAGTCACTCAAGGCAGTGTTGAGGGCCAGATGCTTACTGGGCTACAAGGGCCTTAACTCCTGTACTGTCTCTCCAGGCCTAGTGTGGCATTTTATCAGAACATCCATCTTTTGTTCAGAAATTATCTTAATAGGACTAATTTGTGCTTGTTTTCTGGGGTCTCAGTACAGTACTCAGAGGACTCTGCAGTGCTGGGGCTTAAGCCCAGGTCTCAGGGCCGGAGCAATAGGACAGTGAGGAGGGTCTTTGCCTTGCACGTGGCCAATCCAGCTTCTTTTTTTTCTTTTTGGGTCACACCCGGTGATGCTCAGGGGTTACTCCTGGCTTTGCGCTCAGGAATTACTCCTGGCGGTGCTCAGGGGACCAATTGGGATGCTGGGAATCAAACCCGGGTCGGTCGCGTGCAAGGCAAACGCCCTACCAGCTGTGCTATTGCTCCAGCCCCACCGATCCAGCTTTAATGCCTGGCATCCCATATGGTCCCCTAGCACCACAAGGAGTAATTCCTGAGCGCAGAACCAGAAGTAACCCCTGAGCATTGCTGGGTGTGACCCAAAAAGCAAAAAGAAAAAAAATTAAAAACAAAACAAAAACAACAACAACAACAAAACGAAAAACCCAGGTCTCCGAAATTCTGAACATGCTTTCCAGCTCTCTGAGCCCTTCCCAGACCCTTTTGTGTGTCTTTTCTTTGCTCCTCCATGGAGTCTTCACATTTGTGTGTCTTTTTCTGTATCATTCTCTGTAGTCGGCGGCAGGGAAGCGTTCCGTCCCTATTGGCAAATGTACCTGTCCAAGGGTTTGCTGCTCGTGTTTGTGGTGGATTCAGCCGACCACCACAGACTGCCTGAAGCCAAGAAACACCTTCATCAACTAATTGGAACCAATCCACTCCTTCCACTGGTTGTGTTTGCAAACAAACAGGTAAAAATCCAAGCGTGAGTGGCACTAAAGTTCTGTTATCAATACAGGAAATAAGAAAGTCTTATTTTCGGTAGCTAGAGATGCTACAGAGTGCTATATACAAAACTCAATTTATCAGAATTTATTACTAACGCCATTGGATTATAAACTCCTAAGAGCAGAGCCTATGATTCATTGTCTTTCCTGTAATACCAAGCATACTGTCTTCTGGATAGCAGGAATTCAACAAACACATTGTACTGAATAACTGTAGAATTGACTTCAGCAAAATAGACAGGTGTCTTCCATGTGTAAAGAGTTTGTTTTAGATAAGTTATACTAGCCTAGGTTTATTTCAGAGACATTGAGACTACTACACTTCCACGCAGAGATTGGAACTCTTGCGCTAAGGTGGAAAGGGAAAATGTGCAGCCAGAAAAACAGGATGGTGATCCTAAAAAAATTAAAGCTAAAATTCTAATATGAGATAGCAGTTGCACTCTGAGTATTTACCCCAGACAATTGAAAGCAGGGATTCAATCTTATTTTTTTCAACTCCCTGTTCACAGCAGTTATTCATGTTAGCAAAAAAAAAAAAAAAAAAAAAGGAAACTACTCATTTTTTTGTTTTTATATTTTTTTTATCTCTTGGCTCATTTGTTTATGAATAGTAAGACAAAATATGGTATACACATTCTATAAGTTGTTCATATGTATTATTCCCCACATTTTTGTTGATGCACCATGATTTATAATACTATAAACAATAGGAACCCTCCTATTTCCTCCTCCAGATAGAAAACCCTAGTCCTAACCTAAGCCAAATCTTTGCCCTAGATCTAAATTTGCCAATTTTCCTCATTGAACAATCACCCTATACTTAAATTACATTTTAAACTTTAAACATAGCCATTCTATACCATAACTCTAACACACACCCTAATTCTAACTCTTAGCCTAAAGCAAACCTTAAACTTTACCCATGCCTAGAACAAACCCTACCAATAAGCCTAAACTTAATTTCATTTTCAACTTTAGATATCAACAAATTTTAGGCCTAACTATAACAACCCTAAGCCTAAACCTAACTCTAACCCTAATTCTAATCCTATACCAACTTTACCCCAGCCTCAGCCTAAACCTAACAATTAGCCAAAATTTAACAATCACCCAATACATAACTTTCATTTTCAACATAAGCAAATAACCAGATATTTCACTTGGCACCAGTGCTAGAACTTGATAGGTTCATATTGGTCCCAGAAAAAAAACATTAACATGTGTTGGATTATCTTGGGAGATTTCAGAATGATCTATAACAATGAAAACCATTTATTTATTTATTTATTTATGCTTTTTGGGTCACACTGGCAATGCACAGGAATTACTCCTGGCTTTGCACTCAGGAATTACTCCCGGTGGTGCTCAGGGGACCATATGAGATGCTGGGAATTCCTGCCGGGAGTAATTCCTGAGTGCATGAGTCAGGAGTAACCCCTGTGTATCGCCAGGTGTGACTCCAAAAGCAAAAAAAAAAAAAAAAGAGTCTAACTTGGGGCTGGAGCAATAGCACAGCAAGTAGGGCTTTTTGCCTTGCACGTGGCCGACCCGGGTTTAATTCCCAGCATCCCATATGGTCCACCGAGCACTTCCAGGAGTAATTCCTGAGTTGCTTGATGTATGAGAAGCAAGGAAAAGGTCTTGACTTTGCCAGGAGTAACCCCTGTGCATCTCCGGTATAACCCAAAAAGAAAAAAAAATTATATGCAAGAGAAAATGCAATGGCAAGAGTTCTAATCAGTAATATGACATGGACACAAACCAGTTAAATTTGATCAAATTTCTTCTATTAAAAATAAATTAAGGCTGGAGAGATGGTTCAAGGGCTGGATTGTCTGCTTGCATGCAGGAACCCCAGGTTTGATTCCCAGCACCACATAGTCCCCTGAGCACCACAATGGGAGTTAATTCCTGAGTGCCACCGAGTGTGACTCAAAAATAAACAAATAAAAAAAAGATAAAAGAATTTACCCTATTAAAAATGATACTAGGAAAATAAAGAAAATGTCGGGGGGTGATGGGAAACCAATGAACTGGAATGTTTAGGAAACTAGGTAAAGGTAAAGGTAAAGGCCCTCCCGTTGATCATCAATTAGCTCGAGCGGGCCCAGTAACGTCTCCATTGGAGACTTTGTTGTTACTGTGTTGGCATATTGAATACGTCACGGGGAGCTTGCCAGGCTCTGCCATGCGGGCGAGATACTCTCTGTAGCTTGCCGGGCTCTCCGAGAGGGGTGGAATAATCGAAATCGGGTTGGCCATGCTGGCTGCATGCAAGGCAAATGCCGTACGGCTGTGCTATTGGGACCAGAGAGGTAGCACAGCAGGGAAGGTGTTTGCCTTGCACGCACCCAACCTGGGTTCAATCCCTGGCATCTTATATGGTTTTCCAAGCCCACCAGGGGTGATCCTTGAGTACAGAGTCAAAAATAAATCTTGAGTATTGCCTGGTATGTCACAAAAACCAGCAAAAATAGTCTTCTTTTCCTTTTCTAAAAATATTTTTTGATGCTCACTCATAAATGGTGGTAAGACTCTCTCCCTCTCTTTCTCGCTCTCTCTCTCTCTATCCCTCCCTCTGTCTCTTTCTGTCTCTCTGTCTCTCTGTCTCTCTGTCTCTCTCTCTCTCCAACCCCCACCTTTCCCCAGCGTCTTCTCTTGCTTTTGTTTCTGAACCATGCCCTGCATTACTTAGGGCCTATTTTGGGATCCTAACCAGATAGGCAGGATGCAAGGCTTGTGCTTTAATTCCTGTACTATCTCATGAGCTTCTCTTTCTTTTGATAATTCCTTGCCTAGGACTGAATCCAGGTCTCCTATCTGGGAAGCTTATTCTCTCCTGCTGAGGTATAAGGCCAGTCCTAATGGAAATCTTTAGGTTCAAGCTTCCACTAAGGTTATAATAATGGGAGTCACAGTATCCTCCTCATTAAAATGGAAGTAGGGGTCAGTACAAGTAATAATGAGAGTAATGAAAATATCAAAAAGCATTGCAGGGGCTGGAGAGATAGCACAGCAGGTAGGGCATTTGCCTTGCACGTGGCTGACTCGGGTTCGATTCCCAGCATCCCATGTGGTCCCCTGAGCACCGCCAGGAATAACTCCTTAGTGCAGAGCCAGGAGTAACCCCTGAGCATCGCCAGGTGTGACCCACCCCCCCCCCAAAAAAAAACAGTGTTGCAAAATAACTGACTTTTTTTTCCCCTTCTCTTTTCCCACATGGGATAAGGATCTTGACACAGCCTACCACATTACAGATATTCATGATGCCTTGGCATTATCTGAGGTGGGAAATGAAAGGAAGATGTTCTTGTTTGGAACCCAGGTGACAGAGAACGGCTCAGAGATCCCCGCTGCCATGCAGGATGCCCGGGACCTGATTGCACAGCTGGCTGCGGACATGCAGTGAGAGCTCAGTATCCGCTCGGACCCAGATTGCAACTGGGAGCGTTGAATGGCAGACTCGAAACCAAAGGTTTCCACTTTCAAATAAAAAATGAGCAGTTTCTTATTTTTCTCAGTGGACCACACTTTACACAAAAATCATGTTAATTAAGAATGTCTCTTTGGGGTTTAAAGTTTTAAAAACAAGCTAATGTATTAGGAGAATTTGGATTTTTAGTTGACAAACTCAAAGGGAGTATGAGTAAGCATTTCTTTTATATATTTTTTATTATTGCATGAGATTTATGTTGAGATATTTTAAAGAACTTCTTTCCAATTAAAAATCCAGCTGTAGTTTTTTCAAGGACATTTGAATAAACTTTTTTTCTAGTAAAAATTCAGGTGTCTTTCCTTCGGTGGATGCATTTAATGCAGTAAGGAAAAATACAGGGTTAGGGGAATGGGGGAAATAAGTGCCCTCAAATCAACACAGAAACTTAAATTAATAGCTCTCAGCAAGATTGAAGACAGGATTTTGGGAACACAGAGAGAATTTGATTTTTAAATTCTTGACACTTTGAAATGCATATATGCCTCTTCTTGTTGGTCTTTTCATAGATACTGCAGGTTTTCACAGTCCAAAGGATTGTATCAGTCTTGTGGTCACCAAGTGTACTCATGCAATTTTTACAATAACATATGGTCATGTCCTGTCCGTTAAATTTTGGTTATGCTCACATATATATTCTTACTCATTTCTTATAGTTTTTATTTCCTTTTGAGGGTGGCCATTCCAGGCAAATTTTGTCTTTTTTTTTTTAAAGAAGTTTTATTGGATCACTGTGAGATACAGTTACAAACTTATGTTTCAAACAATGCTCGAGCACCCATCCCTCCACCAGTGTACATTTTCCACCACCATTGTTCCCAATATCCCACCCGCCACCCCCACCCCACCCCACACCCTGCCTCTACTGCTCACATATTTTGACCCTTTTCATTATTAGACATTTTGGTGACCTGTGATCAATGATCTTTGATGATATTGTAATTGCTGTTGTGTTTCATTAAACATACATAAAGGACATCAAATTTCATCCTTAAATTGTGTGTTCTGACCATTCACCCAATCCCCAATGTCCCTGTTCTTTACTCTCCCAAGCCCCTGGATGCCAGAGTGAAACTAGGCCATTAATGACATAATAACACAATATCCTGCAGTAATGGCATCATTATTATAGAATTTTGAATGAAAAAGAAGACATCTCACTTTAAATTTAAAAAAAAAAAATAGTGAGAAAAGACATTTGCACTCCTGTGTTCTTTGTAGCACTATTCATAAGAGCCAAAATCTAGAAACAATGCAAGTGTCCAATTACAGATTGTGTAAACACACAAAAAATAAAACGGCCGGCGGTCTGGCCGTTTCCCCACTCCAGGGAGGTCGATGGCGATGGTCAGGTGAAGGAAGGAAACGAGGCCAAGCTAGTTGGTCTTAGTAGCCGTTTATTACATGGAAGAGATGTATGTCATGGAGGCCTCAGGAATCCTCGAGCACGTGCGCCTTTGTTCTCTCAGCTTCTGCCCTCAGCCCCATCTTCCCCGGTTCTCTGATGCACGTGTCCCCCCAGAGAGCCCTGAAATCGCCCTTATATAGATCATAGTACCTCTAAAGGGCGCAATATAATGATGTCATCAAAAGGAGTTACAGAAAGAACATTGAGGCGGCAAACATACATTGTTTCCTTACATCCGCAGGCCAGTAATCCTGGCCTCACCTTTTCACAAGCTACAAGCACTTAGATTAGCACAACAAAGACCAGTCTGCTAGAGCTTGGAATCTACATCTCCAAAAAAGCAGTCTCATCCAAGCTAGTCAGGACACCCAGGAAACTGCTTCTAGGACGTGTTTCTCCTCTCCTTGTCCAAACAACATATAAGCATACATAATATTAATCATTTCGTATGGACACAGTAAGAAATACTTTGAGCTTATAGAATTGCTCTCCTAGGGCCATCTTGATCTCAGACTGCAGTGCTCAGGCCAGATATCTTTCCTATTCCTAGCAGCAGGGCCCTAGTCTTGTCGTTACTTTTGGATCATGACATCATTTGCCTATGATCAAACTCTTAACTTATAGTTAAGAATCGTGGCACCTTGGCCTGGCCCATCGCGATGCCAGGGTAGCACATAACTTACCGGCTTGCCCTGGTTCCATCCAGTCCCACGTCGGGACCCTGCCCTTGGGGTGCTAGGAAGTGAGGGCAACTGAGGCTTAAGTTGAGAAGGCAGATGCCCAGGAGTGAATAACATTCAAAGCCAATCAATTCCTAAGTTACGGAGCATATTAATTAATTGCCTTCCTGTATCTATACAAAAGGACATTGCATTAAAGTAAACTGCTCAAAAGACATAAGGAGAGGAGAAAGACAATATTAACTTACAGTACAGCTTCAGTGTCTAAGAAGGATGAGACCTTACAAATTGGTTGGGGAAGAGAGCATAGAAGAGGTTACAGGCAGACAAAGTAATGGGAGTGACTCGGGAGCACTGTGATGGGTACAATCTGATAAACCTAAGCTCCGTGTACTCCAACATCTCACCCTTTTCTGTTTACAAAAACACAAAAATTTGAAATAGACAAAGGAACAATTCCAATCACAAAACAGTCTCATATGTAGTAGTAGTAAAACTTCAGTCCGCCCCTGAACCCAGAGCAGTGCTTGTCGTAAAGTGTCCAATAGTCCTGCACTGTTCAAGGGTAATCAGAGTCATTTAGTCGCTTATTGAAGAAATGAAGTGTCCGGATCGCAGTTTGAAGAGTTGTTTTTGCAACATCAGCAGTAGTGGTCACAGCAATGAGTTCCAGAGAAACAACTGTCAAAGAGTCCTATGAACTTCAGGAAGCACAAACATATGTATATATATACATATATATATATATATATATATGCAATCGAACAATGCAGCTATAAGAAAAGATGAAATCATGCAATTTTCAGCTACACAGATCACTTGATCACTTGACTTCCCGTTAATCGTCGATTTGCTCGAGCAGGCGCCAGTAACATCTCCATTTGTCCCTGTCGCGTGCTAGTGTAACCCAATGGCATCTGTTCGCTCTAGGAACACAAAGAGCCTCAAACCGATCGTTCATGATCTTGAACACAGATAGCTATGGGAATATTTATACTGAATGAGGTTAGGAGGAGAGGGACAAACACCAAATAATCTCTCATGTGGGTTATAAAGAAACATTGCTCAAGGCAACAGTACCTGGGAACTCATCTACAGAATTGAGTTTACCATGTTGGGAGATGGTGGGGGGGTGGGCGGAGGTCACGGATGGGTGGTATGGTGTTGGAATGGTGCATGCATGAGACCTTGTCATCAACAGTATTGTAAATTATGGTACCCAAAATAAATTTTAAAACTAGGAATGGTTAAACTTACAGATGTCCCAAGTAATTAGCCAAGTTGTGAATGTAAGGAAATTTCTAAAAATGATTAAGAATGAACACGTGAATATAGGGAAGCAAAAACAGACCTAATTGTGATACGGAAATAATTGGGGGAGGGAGGGGCGTCTGGATAGAAGAACAAGCCATAATGTTTCCTTAAAGCCTAATCCAGACCAGGCAATCTTTGTTCCTATAAATTCTGAGACATGGGGCTGGAGCGAGAGCACAGCGGGGAGGGCATTTGCCTTGCACGCAGCCAACATGGCCGACACAGGTTCGATTCCCAGCATCCCATATGGTCCCCCGAGCACCGCCAGGAGCAATTCCTGAGTGCATGAGCCAGGAGTAACCCCTGAACATCGCCGGGTGTGACCCAAAAAGCAAAATAATAATAATAATAATAATAATAATAATAATAATTCTGAGACACAAGAAGCCTGTGGAGACTGGATCACACATGATTCAGGACTGTAGAAACCATGGGTTTCTGCACCAAGGATGGCACTGAACATGACCGTGGTCCGGGGGCCGCTGCACCAAAGATGGGATTGTACAGGACCCTGGTCCCAGGACAAATCCCTTAATCATCTTGCAACTTACTGAGTTTTCATTCTGGAAAAGGCTTAAACCAAATGCTACTGTTTGTTTCCAAGATGAAGTTTAATCAAAGTTCATACATGGCATGTTTTCTGGGGCAATTTGGCACACTGATAAGTTCCTGGATGCCTATTTCACAGGTGATGTCAAAAGTTTTCAGATAGGGACTGACCGAAACCTCTCTCCTTGAGACAGAAAAACTGTGTTTTTCCTCACATTCTGATTTTAAAATATGCATTTTTTTCCCCAGGGGAGTTGGGGGGAGGTCACATCCAGCGATGCTTGGGGCTTACTCCTGGCTCTGTTCTCAAGGATCAGTTCTTCCAAGGCTAGGAGGTCCACATGTGTTGCTGGGAAGTATGGAAGTGCCTTCTCTGCTATATTATCTCTCTGGTCTCTATATTGTGCATTTTGACAATGACCAGTGAGTGCTGGAGTTTTCTTTTTCCCCTTCAGTGAACTTCATTGAATGCCAATGTGACATTGGCTGTGCCAAGAGAGTCTCTCCTGGCAGTGCTGGGGGTGGGCGTTCCATGCAGTGTGAGGATTGAACCCACTGAGCTATATCGTGACTCCTTTGCTTTATTCTCACGTTCCTTCAAGGGTTATCTGTATGAAATCTGCAGCCTTTGTTTGGCTCATAATCCCAGAGTAGAATGGACCCTCTCCTTACAGCAACCAGTCAAGGGGCCAGAGAGACAGTAAAGGGGTAATGGTCCTGGCCTTGCATCCCACCAACCTTTGTCTCAAAATTAATAAAATATTGCTTTAAAAGAGATCTCATTTAGAGAGATGCCTCTGGACCCCGCACTAGGCCTTTTCATCAGGGGCAAGTCGAGGGGGGTTGATGACTCTCTCCACCCACCCCAACCTTACCCTGGCAGCTGAAAACCTCCAAAACTCCCTGCCAGGCTCACGGTCGCTCTCCACAGACTTAGACAAGCCTCATCCATGATTGAATCTGCTGGAAAACTCAGGTATGTGGGTTTTGTGACTGAAATCTCCAGGCTCACGTGGGGATTGGGAGACCTCCTCCCACCTCCTCCCATCTCCCCGTTCTTTGGGGAGCCTGGCAGTCAAGTCCAGGAACTGCCTCTGGCGCTATACAAGCTCCTTAACAACCATGAACCAGAGAATCAGAAACAAATCTCTCTGGAGAGCCACAAGCTGCAGAGATGCCTCTGGACCTCAAAGTCACCTCCAGTTGTATCATTCTATTTAAAATTTTAGAATTTCTAGTGGGTGTGGCCAGATTTGTGGCTTTCTGACATTTCCTACTCTCCTCCACTGATGTGCAAGTGTAGCACACCATATTTGATGGGTGTAAGGTAAAAGGCAACCATTTTCGATAAAAAGTAACACAAGGCTTAATTTGTAATAACATGTTAGTAATCTTGTATACAAGGGCTTAATAGTTCCAGGGTGAGATACAACAATCTTCACACACTTTCCTCTAAGAAAACTTTTTTTGGATCATTTTTAGTAGATTATTCATAACAAGTAATACAAAAATAAATTAAGACTTGCTTTGGGGGCAGGCTTGCGTGGTGGTGGAAAAATTCGAAATAATGGTAGTGGGAAGGTATAATGGTGGGATTAGTGTTGGAATATAGAATGTAATAAGTTACTATGAACAACTTTATTAAAATAAAATAAGATTGAATAAAAAGAGATCACATTGAAATCAGTGCTTCCTCCCCTCCCCCCCACATACACACACACACACACACACACACACACACACACACACACACACACTGCTCGCCTATTCTCAAGGTAACTGCTAACAACAATGATAAAGAGTTCGCCTCAGCATGCAGTGATGGAAAGGCAAGAGGGAGATGGATGCAGTTTTTTTTTTTTTTTCTGAATGTTGTCAGCGCTCTGTAGGTAGAACTTCGGGTGGATTCTGCCCCATTCCATAGCACGGACCCAATGTTGTCATTTTCCTTCCACCACACTAATATCTCAGGGCTGGACATTGACTTGGGGACACGTGGAAACGAGCGAGGACGCGAGAACATTCGGCGCCAGTATTTGCTCCCAGCATGATTAGGGGACAATGGGGGGAGGGGGCCGCGGGGGTGGGGGATCCTAGGGGGTCAGACCCAGAACCCGTCAAGACTCTGACTCTGCACCCCGCAGGCACCCCTCCCAAGCAGGAAGAGCCCCGAGCACGGCCCCAGGGGTCCCCTCCACCCCCGCCTTCCGCAGTTCCCCCAAGCCGAGCGGCTGGGAGCCGGGCTGGAGCGGGGGCGCCTGTGAAGCGGCCGCGCCCTTGGCAACCCCGGAACGCGCGCGGGGCCGGGCGGGCGGGCGGGCGGCCGGGCGGTGAGCGCGGCCCGGGGCCGGGGGGCGGCCGGGCCCCGCGTCCCAGGCTCAGGCTCCCGGGCCAGCCCGCGCTCAGCGGCAGCTCCCGCGCCCCATGCAGTTACCGGGGTCCCGGCCGGCGTCCCGGCCCCAGGCGTCCTGGAGGTCCCCCGCGAGCAGGAGCCCCCAAGAGCGCAGGGCCGAGTCGGGCCGGGCCAGCTGGTCCCGACAGCGCTCGTCCGAGACGGGGACGCAGAGCCTGCGGGACGGCTTCGACGAGAGCGAGTCCAGCCGGCTGTCCAGCACGCACCCCTCCTTTACCATCTACCGACCCGACACGCCCTTCGAGTCGCCGGGGCCCGACGAGCCCGGCCCCGAGCCCACCGCCCGCAGGACCCCCGCCAGTCGCCGGGGCCCGCGCACCCCCCAGGACGAGCTGTTCGCCCAGCCCACTATTTTGATCGCCCCATCGCTGACGACCCGGCAGTCGCCGCGGCGACCCTCGGTTTCTCCCCGCTGGGGTAGGTGTGGGGGACACCCCCAAGAGCCACAGGGCACGCCCGACCCGCGTGGGAAGGTTTGCGCACGGGCGAGCTCGGCGTGCTGCAACGCAGGAGGGCCTGTCTGTGTGACGCTGGGAAGCGAGGACTGACGCTGCGCTCCCCCTAGTCACAGGACCTGGGTTGCCCCTCATTGTCTGTCGCCACTTCTTTCTGAAGCCCCTCTTAAAGTTTCCTCCAGTCGTTGCTTTGCCTGCGGCTTGGAACGTGTCCTCTATTATTGAGGGTTCCGCGTCGCGGTTCTCCCCGGCTGAAGGATGCGTGTTTGGAGCGGTGTCCAGGGTTTGAAGGCGCCCAGTGATAGTCCGTGGGCAGAGTTGGCGTACAGAGCCCCCCTAGAGCGAGCATTCACGGTGCATGTGCTAAATCGGTACTTTCCGCTCTGTCCTCACAGAGATCACAAGGCAACAGGGCCAATGCGACTTGAGCACAACCATCCTTTGATTCAGTTTTCCGACTTTTTCATTGATGAGTCCATTCAGCTGTGTGTGCATATTGGGTTTCTCATCCCTTGACTAACCACTTTTTATGTTATGTTCTCTTGGTTCCCTTCCTCCCTTTTTCCCTCCCTCCCTGCCCCCCCCCCTCCCTCGCCCCATTCTAGCTCTGGGACTGTGACTCTCATCAGTGAGTCACCCATGCCACCTCACAAGCCCACTTGTTCTCCAGTTATTACTTGTTTGGGGATGATACTCAGGGGTTACTCTTGGCTCTGCATTTAGGGATCAATCTTGGGAGAGCTTCGGGGACAATATGGGATGCCCGGGATCAAACCTGGATCAGCTTTCAGCAAAGCCAGCACTGTCCTACCCACTATACTCTCCCCAGCCCCTAATTTCCCTAATTGTTGAGAGGACACCTTTGCTGTCCTCCAGATGTCACACCTTTGACTTCCAAATAGCTCAAGACTACCTTGTGCTTTATTGAGAATACAGAATATAGAAAGAGTTGGTCACACATCCCCTATTTTTTTACTACTCTTTCATTGGCTTCTCCAAACCTCCTTGCTTTCTTTTTCCCTTTTCAGGTAAGAACTATAGAAAGCGGAATCCCGCACTTGGGCTTCACATTCCACTTTGAATGCAAACTTTGAATGAAGAACTTTGTTCCTTCATTTCCCTCCTCTCCTATCACACCGGTTTCTCACTTCCTGAGGATCCAGGCCCACAAGATGCATAGATACCCTGGAGTTTTTCTTCCTGAATCTGCCCCTGTTCCCTTCTTCTCCAAACACCCACCATCTTTTGCTTCTCCTCTGCAGAACTTGTCTCTTGTGTTGTCTCTACACGCTGATTCCATTTTCTCATCCTCGTTCTCATCACAATCCTTCTGTTTGGGTTCCTTTTCTCTCCTCTCCACAAAATCTGCCACACCTGGCAGTGCTTAGGGGTTACTCCTGGCTCTGCACTCAGGAGTTACTCCTGGTGATGCTCCAGGGGCCCTATGGGGTGCCAGATATCAAACCCCAGTGGACCATGTGCAAAGCAAGCACCCTTTCCTGCTGTACTATTGCTCTGGCCCCTTGTATCTTTTTCTTTTTTGTTTGTTTGCTTTTTGGGTCACAACTGGCGATGCTCAGGGGTTACTCCTGGCACTCAGAAATTACTCCTGGCGGTGCTCGGGGGACCATATGGGATGCTGGGAATCTAACCTGGGTCAGTCATGTTGGCTCCGTGCAAGGCAAACGCCCTACCCGCTGTGCTATTGCTCCAGTCCCCCCGCCTTGTATCTTTAAGGACTGAATCCATTATTGCATAGTGTGAGACATATATTCTATATGTACTTATGTTATAAACAATATTGGCTTTTATGTTTTTGCTTTGGGGACACACCTGCTAATGCACATTGTTCCTGGTACTGCTCTTGGGACTATAAGGCACTGGAATTTAAACCCGAGGCTCCCACATGCAAAGCGTGTACTTGCTATCTGAGTCCATCCCACTTAGCTTGGAGGTGTGTATTTTGAGCTCTGGCTTGCAGAGGAGCGCCAGGAAGTGTATGAATATTTGGAACCCGGAGGAAGGGCTTGCCCTTTCCAGACTTCTGTCTTCTCCACTCTCACCCAGATCCCTCCCTTAGCCTCGCTGACCTTCAGCTCAGGCTGCAGGAACAGTAACCTGGGGAACTTGGTCAACAGAGCAGAGAGGGAAAGTGAATGATAGTCACAACTCAGGTGGCTTCCCTTGTCCGATCACTGGGCCTTCCGTGTTTGTTGACCACAGCCCAGTATAGATCTGGGTAGCTTTAAGACCAGCTTTAAGGTCGCACCAACATCTGAGTATGGTTTCTTGAGTTTTGTGTGTAAAAGTAACATGCATAAACAACACAGAAAATCCCGATGTTGGGGACTGGAGTGATAGCACAGCAGGTTGGGCATTTGCCTTGCCCGTGATGGGCCCAGGTTTGATTCCCAGCATCCCATAGAGTACCCCGAGCACTGCCAGAAGTAATTCCTGAGTGCAGAGCCAGGAGTAACCCCTGTGCCGAATGTGACCCGAAAAGTGAAAAAAGAAAAAGAAGTCCCAATGTTTATGATTTTTCTTTTCTTTTCTTTCTTTCTTTCTTTCTTTTTTTTTTTTTTTGCTGTAAGCCAGGTACTCAGGGATTACTCCTGGCAGGTCTTAAGGGACAAGGTGCAGTGCCAGGGACAAACCTGATAGGTTGCATTCAGGCAGGTGCCCTACGCACTGTGCTAGTTCTTAGCCTCCATGTTTATGGTCATGGTCTTCCCGTTATTCATCGTTTTGCTCTAGCGGGCCCAGTGACTTCTCCATTGTGAGACTTGTTGTTACTGTGTTTGGCATATTGAATACCTCACAGGTAGCTTGCCAGGCTTTGCCATGCGGAAAAGATACTCTCGGTAGCTTGCCGGGCTCTTTGAGAGGGGCGGAGGAATCGATCCCTGCTTGGCCAGGCTGGCTGCGCGCAAGGCAAACGCCCTACCACTGTGCTATCACTCCAGCCCATGTTCATGATCAAAATAGTCTATTTAACAGCTTTAGCAAGGTAGATTTGGTCCCTAGTGTCGTGTGTGCCCAGACCACTCACTGGTACCTCACTGGTTCCTGGTCTGCACTGGTCTCTCGCTGTTTCTGTCCCTTTAGTCCATTCTGTCTGTCACCATGAACCACTTCTCCTTGCTGTCCTTTGCCCCTTTGACTTTTCTCTGTTCTTGGGCAAAGGGCAGCTTATCCTATGTTTCTTCTAGGTGATCGACAGGGTTCAAGGGGAAGTCCTTGCCTTTCGTGCTCCACTTTAAGTGTCCTTATTCTCGCCTCTTCGCCATTTCCATGCTCCGTGGGACTGGCTACCCTCACGTTATGAGACTGAAAATGTCCAGCTGTACCTGAATCACCAGATGCCCTTCCTGTCCCCTCCCCAGTAACACGACTGCTACGCACAGCACGTTTCCTTCAGAATGCTTTGACGGCAATGCAGGGCTCACCGAGTATTTTTTCTGTCTCTTTTTTTGGGGTCATATCAGTGGTGCTCAGGGCTTATTCTTGCCTCAGTGCTCAGGGACCACTCCTGGCAGGGCTCGGGAGACCAGATGCAATGCCCAGGATTGAACCAGGGCAAGCGCCCTACCCGCTGCGCTAGCTCTCGGCTCTCACTGACTATCTCATGGGGAGTGATTTTTTTTTCCTTCTCCGCGATCTGTCACATGTCACTCTCGAACATTCCAGATGGTCTCTGGCTACTCGCTCCTCCTGTGCCCCCCCCCCACACCTGTCGCGAGGTGCTTCCTACCCTTTCCCAAAACTCGGCTGTCTCCCGGTCAATGCAGCAAGGGCAGGAGGCGGGGATACTTAGACGTCCTTAATAGGCAGGCAGGAGGGGAAGGGAGAGACCGATTCCGCTCAGCACCTTGCAGTTGGTCTCCAATCCTTCGGGCCCCCTCAAGCAGGAACGGCTGTGATGCCGCTTCCTGCCAGCAGAGGGCAGCCTTCTCCATCAAAAGGCTTGCGGCGCGGGTAGGGCTATTTTTTGCAGAGCAAAAGGACCAAGAAGTAATTTTATGCAAAAACAATCAATCAAACAAACAAACAAAACAACACACACACACACACATACAACCTCGGAGAGATCAGTTGTTAGGACTTTAATTAAAACAAAAAAATTGCTGGGAGGTGGAGACACATCCAATTGTACACGGAGGCTATTTCTGACTGGGAGCCCAGGGATGTCTCTTGTCGGTGCTCGGGGTCCTGTTGGTGCAGGGCTGGCGCTCCCTCCCTTTGCGATATCTTCCTGGCTTCCTAGATATTTTTTTTTGTTACGAATCTTCAAGTATTGTTGTTGCTTTTTAGTGAATTCGATTTTTTCTCTTGAGGAGGAAGGCACACCCAGTGGGACTCAGCGCTTATTCTGATCGGTCTCCTGATCACTTCTAGCAGTGCTGGGGAGTTGGTATGTGATGCCAGGGATGGCACCCAAGTCAGCTGCGTGCAAGGCAAATGTCCAGCGTACTGTCACTCTAGGTGCCTACTCTGTTAGTTATTCTTTTTTTTCTTTGGGGAGGGGTGCACACTTGGTGATGCTCAGGGGTTCCTCATGGCTCTGCACTCAGGCAGTGCTCAGAGGACCATATAAGTATGCCAGAGACTGAACTGGGCTTGGCTGTGTGCAAGGCAAACACCGTACCCACTGTGCTATCAGCCAGGCCCCAACTTGTTATTTTTTTTATGATCATGTAATACCTAGTACATTTTAAGCTTCCCTAATTATCTTAAAATATTTTTCACAGCATTTTCCCCCCACTCTGAAGCAGCTTGTGTTCTCTCCTGAACACATATCTCCAATTAAGTTCCTTTCCATAAAATCTATTTCCTTCACAATTAATAAAAATTGGAATGCATTTTTGTAGATGGCTCAATTAAATTATGTCTCAAAAAAGGGCCACACGTACTTTTTGGAACTTTTCTCTCTTCTCTGTTATTTTTCATCTATTACCCTTTTAT